CGCTGCATGGGCGGGATGGCGGGATAAAAAAATCACGTGATGCGCTGCACCAAATATTACCAAAATGCTGGCAGGGGTTGGCGGCGTCATTGGCGGGGTCACTACCACCCCCCGCACACCATGGCGGGCAGTGGGCGCATTATCACGTGACTTTTTGGGCGCCTTTTTTGCAGCATTTGGCATGATTTTGGAAATGCTGCTTGATACATTGCATGCTGTGGCAGACAATGGGCGCAAAATCACGTGATTTTCCGCCCAAAAAAATGGAAGACTCCCCAAATCATCCCAGTATAATTTCCATAGGTAAATAGGCTAGTTAAACGTGAACTTGAGCTTAGAAAAACCAAAATGCACCCTGCACAATGGGATTGGTGACACACTTGATCCCATCATTTGGCAGGGCCTGCCGCAGGGGCTGCCGCGGGGGGTGCCGCGGGGGGTGCCGCGGGGGGTGCCCCAGGGGGTGTCGCGGGGGGTGATGCGGGGGCTGCCCCAGGGGGTGCTGCGGGGGGGTGCTGCAGGGGCTGCCCCAGGGTTGGTCTGTTATGATCCATTTTTGTTCATTGAAGATCTTGTAGAGGTGAGCAGGGCAACAGGCCAACTGGGAATTTATAGGAAGACATTGAAATTGATGCAGGGGTCAGATGCGGGGCCCACTGCAAGGTCTACTGCAGGGGCAGGGGTGCATTATATCAAATTTCGATGTATCTATTCTGGCCATGGCCATAGAATGTCACATAATTATCCTTCAATTTGGCAGGGGTTTCTTGGTATGGTCTGCAGCTAAAGATATTTGATTCCCTTGTGCTTTAGCAGAGCCTGGGATATTGAAAACATGCAATAGCACCTGTATAATCTGTCTATGTAGGGTCAAATACAAGTTATAACTTGGTACATTTGGGCATGGTCTGCTCAAGCTATTAGGTCGAATTTAATGTTTGAAAAATGCGCAACTTGATTTGTTTGGCAAATCCCCCAAGGGAGTTTTCCATGTGCAGCCAAATTGATCGCCAGGAATAGCTACTGCTCCTTGTCCCTGTCTGTTTGCTTCCGATAGTCTGTCTGCTCCCAAATCTTCCTCTCCATTTTCAGGATATCTGATACAGGTGTTAGGATTGTTGATTGATGGATTTCATATTCCTTGTCTACACACCATTTAGACACTTTAATGGATGTGATAATACTGTGAACACTAACAATTGATTAGGCAGCACTTTTGTCCATCCAATCCTTGCAGGGGCTGGGGCAGGGTTGATGGTGGGGGCTGCCGCGGGGGCTGCTGCGGGGGGTGCCGCGGGGGGTGCCCAAGCCTCTGCCAGCCTACCCAATGTGGATCAACTACAGGATCACTTTCCAAAGCTTCTGTACTGCAACCCGAGTGACTTCCAGGTTACCTTTACCCAATTCCAGTGACACAACTTGCCTGCTCTTGTTTCTGGCCGACAATTGATTTTATAAGCTTGAGTGTGTATGTGCACTTTTTGGTGGGAAAGGAGGCCATTTGGTGAGGGGCAGGGCACCGAAACATTGTCAAATACCACATTGAACATGACCAGTGGCTTACATCTCTTCAAACTGGCCCCTATCTCATGTTTATCAAGACCCTATTTTTCGGACCCATTTCAAGTTTTTGAATGGTTCCAGGGTCCAGGGCTCTCAGAATTTGTTTCAGACACTGCCAAGGGGTATATCATTCAGCTGTATTGAGTTGTTCATTTGTAGAAAATATATTTTTTGCAATACCCAAAGTGAACTATGTTGAACCATTATCTATGTAGGAACCTTGAGCAACTGTGAACTGTTTTCATGTTTCGAATTTTGGATGGACAAATGATATGAAATACCTACATATTCAACAAGAACAGCATAGGGAGACCTTATTCCGATGGTTTTCAGCTGCATAACTGTAGAAACAGTGTCAGAAGAGCGGGAAACACTTAGGTACGACGTTTATACAGGTTCTGATTGGCTGGTGACTTGACGTGTTCCGAGCTGTCAGATTATGTAATCTTACATATGAGAAGATGGCAGGGGCAAGGCACCGGTGCAGCGGGGGGTGTGGCAGGGGGTGTCAGCCTGGCGGGGGTGCATGCGGGGGTGCAGTGGGGGGTGCCAGTTTGGCGGGGGGTGCCTGCAGGGGTGCCAGTGGGGGTGCAGGTAGAGTTGCAGGCAGTGAGTTATGGCAAGAACGTATACAGTCCCAGTAGCAAAAGCAATCATGTATGTTTCTGCAGTTTGTCTTGCAAGTATCCAAGCTCTAAGTGGAAAGAATTTTGTATATGAAATCTGAATTCATGCTCAATCTCTGGCTATTGTGAGACAACTTATTAGTGAGTTAGTTCATCCTCTTATATACGACCCAGGAATGAATTGAGGGCATGTCAAATCCGCTATGTTCCATCTGTTCATGTTGCAGCTTGAGAAAATCATTTGCAAAGCATCACAGAACTTCTGATTTTCAATGAGTCCCAGTCAGGAAGTGAGACATTCAATGTGTACTTGACATGTGGTACAATGTGCCGCAGGGTAAGATTACACTGTGCTAACAGTGTGAACAATTGACTAATAGCCATGTATGTAGAATGAGCGCACCAAAAAATCAATGAGATGACAGTGGACCCAGTGCAGCCAACCTACCCACCCTGCCGGTCAACACATGAACAAATCATAACTTGTATTTGACCCTACATAAACAGATTATACAGGTGCTATTGCATGTTTTCAATATCCCAGGCTCTGCTAAAGCACAAGGGAATCAAATATCTTTAGCTGCAGACCATACCAAGAAACCCCTGCCAAATTGAAGGATAATTATGTGACATTCTATGGCCATGGCCAGAATAGATACATCGAAATTTGATATAATGCACCCCTGCCCCTGCAGTAGACCTTGCAGTGGGCCCCGCATCTGACCCCTGCATCAATTTCAATGTCTTCCTATAAATTCCCAGTTGGCCTGTTGCCCTGCTCACCTCTACAAGATCTTCAATGAACAAAAATGGATCATAACAGACCAACCCTGGGGCAGCCCCTGCAGCACCCCCCCGCAGCACCCCCTGGGGCAGCCCCCGCATCACCCCCCGCGACACCCCCTGGGGCACCCCCCGCGGCACCCCCCGCGGCACCCCCCGCGGCAGCCCCTGCGGCAGGCCCTGCCAAATGATGGGATCAAGTGTGTCACCAATCCCATTGTGCAGGGTGCATTTTGGTTTTTCTAAGCTCAAGTTCACGTTTAACTAGCCTATTTACCTATGGAAATTATACTGGGATGATTTGGGGAGTCTTCCATTTTTTTGGGCGGAAAATCACGTGATTTTGCGCCCATTGTCTGCCACAGCATGCAATGTATCAAGCAGCATTTCCAAAATCATGCCAAATGCTGCAAAAAAGGCGCCCAAAAAGTCACGTGATAATGCGCCCACTGCCCGCCATGGTGTGCGGGGGGTGGTAGTGACCCCGCCAATGACGCCGCCAACCCCTGCCAGCATTTTGGTAATATTTGGTGCAGCGCATCACGTGATTTTTTTATCCCGCCATCCCGCCCATGCAGCGCGTCATGTGATTGGATTTTTTTTTCCTGCCCAGCTACCCGCTCTTATGGACAAGTCACATGCTACATACACCCCCCCTCCTCCTGACCCCCGCATATGCCCCCGCTACTAAATCGACTAAATGGCCCCCCCACCCCCCGCCAGGGGGTACCTACTGGGTACCCTCAGCAAGACGTCTGAGGGTACCCAGTAGGTACCCCGCGGGGGGAGAACCGCGTGATGGCGGTGGTAACTGAGGTGCATTTTCCGGTCCCCCTGGAGTCCCGCTGTATTTACTCCCGCTTTAGGTAGATTCCCGCGGGACCCGAACCTTGGACCTCGTTGTTCCCAACGATGTCAAAACTAAAACTGATGCAACAGGCTGAGATAATTTTCTACTGCATGAGACTACATACTAGCGTTGACAGAACATCAAACGGCGCCGTCGTCGTCAGGAGTGGGACTTGGATTTTTCAGGAGTCCCGCTGGACCACATCTGCGGGAGTCCCGCGGGGGATTCTCTAGGCCCTCCGTGGGCGATGTGCTTGAAGTACAGACCCAGATATCCGATATCGCATAACAGTGGTGCCTGTGTATGGACACTGTCACCGGGTGTCTCTGCAATGAAATCCCGCCAAAAATCTGCGTAAGATTCCCCGCACGTCTGAGTTGACCTCTGATCCTTCCCGCACGAGACAATCACCGGGCCAGCTCCGGTTCCACTCGCGCTGCGACTCTGATTCAATCTCAATCCTCTTCACCCCCTTTCTAGAATTCCCAGCTCTACGGGAGTCAGTCTTTCTGCCATTCAGGAGTGACAATCTCGTCGAGCCTGTTCCTTAACCCGACGATTCCGTCCGCCCCACATGGAGTTCGCGGGTGGGCCCCAGACCGGCTCACGTCCTGCAATTATCTCTCGTCATTCATGCACATGAACATGGCGAAGTTTGTGCTGTCTGCTCAGTCCCAGCGTGAGTCGTAAGACTGCAATGGACCGTGTGCCGTTGATGTATACTGGCATGCACGCACCGAACCGAGCAACGCCGCATTCTGTTCCTGCGTCGATTCTACCGGCAACACAAAAATTACATCTGCTTGGTCAGACGGTCGAAGTCGGGCGGCCCAATCTGGGTCGGATGGATGGTGACTAAATAGGGGCTCGCTCAGTTAATGAATAAGATTGCCCGATTAGGACCAGTGATCCATATCACCGTTTGTTGAATCACCCGCTGGTGCATAACCAGCGAGGGTGAGAAACGGCAGCAAAGAACGTAAGGATGGGGATCCCAACTCGAATGGCCCCTATGAGGCTCAGTCTTTCATTCCATCGAAGTGCGCTCGAGGCTCAAGGCGAAGGGATCTCCGGATGCAGAATGATCAGGTCCTGGATCCCGTTTTCTGCATCATCGCAGGAGTGTAATGAACTTATTTTTTGGGATCATCGATATGCGACCGGGATCTGCGATTCGTTATGCACTCTCTTCTGACTATGACGACAGATACTCTGCTGACGCATACACCTTGCATGGGCTAAAAAAGACAGCCACAAACGCACACCAAGGACAGACGCAATTCGACCCCCCAAATTGCAGCATTTCCATCCCATACTCAACCCACCGACCAATGTCTTCTTACTCCTCGTTCGCAGTCATCGGTGCCGGCACTCTTGGTGGCCCCATTCTTGCCGCCCTCGCCGCCCAGCCTTCCGCCAAAGTCATCCTCCTCTCCCGCACCGCCTCCAAGAAAGTCCCAGAGTACGTCCAGGTTGTCTCAGTCCCGTCGTATGATGATGTCTCGGCCGTCACCGCTGCACTCAAGTCCCACAACGTCGACGTGATTGTGTCTACACTGTCCATCGAGGCCATTTCTGTGCAGGTGCCCCTCATTGACGCGGCGAAGCAAGCTGGTATTAAGTTGTTCGTGCCCTCCGAGTTCGCCGCACCCTCAGATGGACACACGGGGCCTGAATTCGGCGAGAAAAACAAGATCATCGGTGCGTTCATTCCAATATTTGACCGAGGATGCTCGCTGATACATCCCTTCATGCAGCAAAACTTCAGAGCGTCGGCCTGCCATTTCTCCGGATCTATGTTCGTGTTTGTGTGCTAGTGGGTGTGATTACTGCTGACAAAGAGTCATAGAACGGGGTGTTCACCGAGTTCTTAACTTGGGTTGTGAATTTCGACCCTGCGGCGAAGAAGCTGTATGTGATTGGTAAATCGTCGGGCATTGTCTCCACCACATCCATCAGAGATGTTGCAGGTGCGACATCCCAAGATTATCACTTGTGTATACAACGCTTACAAGCTTCCCGAAGGCTATGTTGCCCATATCCTCACCCACCAAACTACCTCTGCCCTCGAGAACCAGATCCTGCGTATTGAAGGCGACCGCATCTCGGGCTTTCGATCCCTCGGCCCCCTTCTCAATGCAGAAGTTGAGACAGTTGAGACGATGGGAGGGGAGATGCCCAGCTTCAAAGCGTTCTTGATGGGCATCGCCGACAACGGTCTGGCTACCACTGGCCACGGAGTCCAAGGTTTGTCCGATGAGGAGGCCTCCAAGAGCGGGAACGCGTTGTGGGCAGGACACCAGTGGAAGACTGTCAAGGATATTCTTTGTTCATAGATTCAAAAGTCACCAGTCACTAGTCAGCGGTCGTTGGATATAATGTTGTTCAAGCTTGAGCCTGACAGTAGGTTGCAAAACAAATTGAATTAATGCACTGGCAAGTCTTGTTCACTCAGTCTTCTGCATGGATTCCGTAGCCACTTCTCATACATTGAGTTTACATGTACAGTAGTGAGTTGAAGCAAATTCCTAGGCAACAAGTCGCGAAATAAGAGAGTGCAACTCGATTATCTGGACCGTTGCCGTCTGTCCGGACCGTTGTGATCAATAGTAATCATCAGAGATCACAGCTATCGCCTGTTGCAACTGTCAAATTTGAAACTCTGAGCGGTTCTCCATATATCAATTCCAGCCTCCATAGTAGATGACTCTGAATACTTATAGGAGACTCTGCTGAAACCACTAATGGGCGGAAGCGAGCCTAATACGGAAGATGCTACTGGATCCTTGCAGTTGCATCTTCCCTGATCGATTCCGCCCAGGCCACAGCATCTCTGCGGCCTTTCTCCACATCTACTGCGAACCAGATGACCAGCGACGCGCAAGCGCACAGTGCGAACAAGAATGGAAAGCCTGTGCATTCCGTGTAAGAATAGCAAACGGCAAATGTATTAGAACCGGAATCGGACACACCCATCCAGTTGTTCCCAGAAGAGTCAATGATGGCCTGGATCACGTTCGGTCCGATCATCGAGCTGGCGCGGTTCGAGAGACCAAAGAGTCCGAAGAACTGCCCCGGGTGAGTCCAGTCGACCAAACTGCACAGTGAATGAATGCATTGCCCGAGTGCTTACCATGTTGTCAAAGCCGGGCGGCGTCAGCTCAGCCATCATCGTCTGGGAGAACGCGTAGTACGGCGCTTGGAAGAGGCCGAAAACGACATTGTATGCCCTGGAAGATTATCAGCGAGTACACGCCGAAAAGGTGGCGTCGGCATTCACCAAAACTCCCACTTGTTATGGAAACTGGGTCAACATATGAGCTCCACTGAGCGGTGATATGACAATCTTGCTCACCCAAGCTTCTGGGTCCAGATCCCGATCATACCTGGGCCGGCGTGAATGGACATTTCACTCAAACGTAGAGCCACGAAACGCACCCCAAAGCGGAATCATGATCGTGAAACAGTTCGTGACGACAAACTAGCAGGGAGAATCAGCCGCCGAGAAAGGGCGATGAGGTGCGGGTCGACTGACCATCCGCTTCGTCGAGATCTTCCAGTACCTCTGGATGTACCAGAATCCAAATGTGCTCGCAGTCGAAGTGATGGCTGGCGAGCCTATCAGGCGAGGTCCGAACGAGAAAGAGTCCTTACTGACCTTGCGACAGGCCCAGATACGTGTTCTGCAAGAAGCTAAAGGAGAACTTGTCGTTTTGGCATATCGAAACTAGGGTTCCGGTCGTGTTGAGGCCCTGATATGGTACGGTATATACAGTCAATCTCCAAAGTCAACGTTCTAGTGCACACTCACATCGGCCAGGAGGAAGAACGCGAACAAGTAGATGAAAGTGTACGGAAGCTGTTTGTACTGTTTGCATGCTGCCCAGATCTGCGTACTCGTCCAGCCCATAGCAAGATAGGAAACCCCCCACCAACCTGTTTCCAGCCGATCGTGATGTAGTGTTCTCCTTTCGGCAGCGGAGGGCCGGGACGCGGTTCCTGAAAGATGACTACAGAGTTTAGACGACGTTGACGGGTTTCGCGATGGCTTACACCACCAGACACCGGTAAGGACCCAATACATATTAGTTCTGTTGCTGTATCAGCAACCTAGAATTGCATCTGACAGGACATACTCACAAGACGATCGTGTAGTTGTCGACGAGTGCGTTAGAGCTCAAAGGGAGCAAGATAGACAGATTCAGACAGAGGGTAGCAATGTATCCGATATTGCTGTGAGCCTGGGTCCATTCTCGTGAGCCAAGCGCAAGAGAGGGAAGAGCACAACGCACGGTGCTGATGTTGCTGATGAGATTCTTCTCCAAGCTCTCCTCTTTCTCGTACTCTTCCTTCGATATCTTCTCAGCTTCGTATTGGGTTCTGATTTCGCTTGCGTGGGCCGTGTTTCTGGCCAGGCGAGGGAACAGCGCTGCATAAAAGACCAGTGTCGCGCCGTATGAGATGAATCCGATCATATATAAGGCCATCGCAGCCCCCCAACGAGACGGTTCTGCTCTCGGGATCAGTGATCGTGCAGAAAGAAATGCAAGGGGCGTACTGGTCAAAGCCATGCTTCCAAACTGTGCGCCCCAACAGACGACCGTGACCGCAAGAAGCAGCCAGCGCCCAAAAGTTCCGTAGTCAGCCGCACTCCCGATAGTCGTGAAGATCAACGTCATAATCTATTCACATCGAGATGAGCTTGAAGGGATTGCGAACGCAACTCACCGCGAAGCTAACGCCGTTCGCTACCAGCACGACGCTCGTTACGCTCTTATGGCCGCGGCCCCAGGGCACGACGCATTGGCCGGACGCGTTGGCTGCCGAGCAGGACGAGCCGGGCCCAGCAATGGGATCATAGCCAGCGGCGAACGCAAGCGACTGGAACAGCGTCATCGAGTAGCCGTTCGGGCCGACACCCTGGGGTGTAGGTCAAAAATTGTGATCACTGGTTGGCGCGGTGAGAGATACATTGTCACCGTTGTAGTAGACTGCGGTGTGGGTTTCAGGGAGTGTTCACCAGTGCAGGATGCGTCAGTACGCACGATAGTAGCTCCAGAGTTCCCTCCGTGTCACGACCGGCTCGTCCTTGCTGATCGAAGACACGAACAACGGGCGCTTTCCGACGGCAGGTAGATCTTCCCCAGGACACTCCAGGTCCTTAGTATCCTCGTCTCCCAGGGTCGGCTCGACGTTCGGGACGGGATGCACTGGCTGAGGCAATCTGGACATGGTGTGCGACGTCCAAGAGTGGCGGGGAACTTGAGAAGTCTGTTTGGAGCCTCTTGACCGGGTTTATCTCAATTGAGAACCCCCCATGTCTGATGAGCCTGGCTCTTATCGGCAAGAAGTGTCCGTCATTCTGAGTTGATATTCATCGCACTCTGTGCATCGAGCGAGTCGTTCGGAGCTGCATTGAATGTAGTAGCACGGGAGATCGGTGTATCTGAAGCGCGTGGACTCGATGTTCCTGATAAGAAAACTGCAAGATGTTCGTGCATAACTATCATTGACGGGTGCCGGTAAGAGACAACGTAGATCCTCCGCATCAAAACTCTTCTGCTCATGCTCTCATCGGCGTCACGCGTCTTACGGCGTGAGCTCGCACGCGCCCATTCTACCGCCGCGCCCCCGATAGACCCAGCATCCCATTGTAGACAGCTGGTGAAAAAACACGACTATGAATCCTTCATGGTCAGCAAATTCTGGCCTGCTTCGTTGCAGGACGGCTATTTCGCGCTCAAAGCTTTCTCGGTGTGCACAATAGACCGCGTTCGGGAGACCTCGAGCTGGTGCTGAACTACGACATAGACCGAGCTCGCTATGGTACAGGATAATGTCAGCGCGGCGACGCTTGGTGCGATGAGGATGCAGTTCTGGCGCGATGCGGTACGCGACATATACGCGGTGCGTGTCAAGGTCCTTACGAACACATGCGCCAAGATACTTAGAGTAGTGTATGCCAGGACAGACCGCCCCGGCATCCCATTGCCCTATCATTGCATAAAACGGCCAAGGCGGCTAACGTACCTGCGTACTACTTGAAACGAATCATCGATGCTCGGGTGTGTCTTACTGCTCCCGTCCCTCACCGAGGTCTCACACCCGCAGGACGAGGAGCTGAAAACCAGCTCATACCCGACGACAGACGCCCTGGTGACGCATGCAGAGGGCGTTTCGTCCAATCTCCTCTACGCGCTCCTGGCTCTGCGGGGGCTTGGCGCCTCCGAGTCGCTGGCGCACGCCGCCTCGCACCTCGGAGTGGCACAGACACTCGCAACGCTACTCCGGGGCCTTCCGTTCCATGCCGCCCACCGGCGGCTTCCCCTTCCGCTCGATATCTGTGCCCGCCACAACGTCCAGCAGGAGGATGTCTTCCGACACGGAGGCACCGCCGGCGGGATCGACGCGGCCGTATACGACGTCGCGGTCCTGGCGAACGACCACCTGCTCACCGCGCGGGATATGTTCAAAGACGCGCCGGGTGGCAAGATCCCGGAGGCTGCTATGCCTGTGTTTTTGGCCGGGGTGCCCGTTGCCAACTTCCTGGCGCAACTGGAGAAGGAGAACTTTGACGCGTTTAAGCCAGCGCTCGGGGTCCGGGATTGGAAACTGGGGTGGAGGATATGGATAGGGTACTACAGGAAGATGTTCTAAACGTCTAGCTTTCCAACTACATTCCTATGGCCGGCACAGACGTCCCCTTGCAAGAACCCAATGCGCGTAAGTAACAAGTAGGACGCGCGGGTGTCATTATGGTCACACGCGGATGCAGTAACATTGCCAAAGCATGAATGATATATAGATCCAAGTACTGGCACGTTGTTCGCAGGTCTGAATCTGTTTCTTGAGATCATGAACATCTGGATCAGGGGACTCCCTCTCTCAGAGCCATCCGTTGCACTTCAATGTGGATCATTCGAATGGGCCATCCATAGTCAATGCACCATGAGAGACACCCCGGAGAAGCTTAGGAGATGCCTCGCCGCCATACGTCGCCCTGAACATCAAGACGAGCATACCCTCCTCAACAAGCCTCGCGGCTGATACCACGTCTACCTGGGTTGATACCACATCTACCTGATACGGCGATAGAACAACAAATACGCGCATCTAGTCTCCTCCTTGAAGTTGGCGGCGCCAAACACATCAGCAGGCCGCACGTCCGAAACGAGCTCGTCATCGATTCGGACCCAGCCCTCGCCGTGCAGCACGTCCAATGTGTAGTGGCCTCCGCCAGCAGATAGACCGTGATGGTAGATGGCTTCGGGAGCGTGTGTGAGAGATTCGGACTATGCTGATCAAGTAAACAACGCACCTCCAAACAGCCTGTAGCGAGCGGGCTTGCTCTTGGCTGCCATAAGATCTACAAATGCGTACTCTTCAATGCGCATCCGAATGTGAAAAGGGAGGCACTGACCGTTCCCGAGCTCAAGCTCTGGGGAAAACACGATTTGCTTTCCCACTTTGATCACTGCGCCTTCCGCCGCATCATAGCAAAATCTCTTCATGTGCAGGACGAGGATCGGAGGCAACGAGTCGATGAGCACCTGCTGGCTCGCTTCCAGCACTGTCCCTGGCCTCGTCGGATGCGCCATTTGTATCGATTGCGGATGTGATAAAAAGGCCAGCGCGTCTTCGATCGTTTGGATCCCCTCGCGCTGTGGACAAACTCAAGACAACGTCCGTAACGGTGCATACTGCTCACCTGTATATCTATTCTGAGCGACCTCCAGTCCTCCACGATCACCGAGTCCCGCTGACTCGGTGCCCTCAATGTGGACCTGAATTTGCCTCCGAATATTCGACTGATTGGAGAGTCCTCCGATTTGATCTGTGATGCGGGTCAGAGAGATCAATCTATACGAGTGATCCCGACAACTCGCCGTTCTGGTCACCACTGTCCTATTCTTCTTGCCGACCTCCATCCATCCATCTCCAACAGCATCTTCCTCGACATGTTCTTCCACCACATCGGCTCGTTTCATGCTCGAGCCTGCCACCGCAAGAAGCTCTTCTTCAAGCGTGTCAAGGAAGAACCCGAGGAACTCTTCAGCGTCTTCTTGATGTCCGCCCTGTGACAAGTGAGCATGAACACGAGAAGATCAACTGACCCACTGACCCGCATCCCATCGAAACGCTTCTTATCCTTGAGCGCATCATAGATTTCAGTGGGAATGAACGCGTCCTCGAAGTCATCCTCATCCTCGGCACGCGCCTTTCCCTTCCCAGCCGAAGGGGCCACCACTGGCCGGATAAATTTCTTCATGAAAGCGCCGGTGGCACGCACCAATGGGGCAGGCTCCAGCCAGCCGTCCTCATCCTCTCCGGCGAGGGCCTGCAAGCGTGAGAAAAATCGCACAAATGGCTCGCACCGCAGGAGAACCTGCAGCACAGCATTTGCGAAACACATATTCCCCGTGTTCACCAGACCGCGAGGGATCAGCTTTTCCTTGGCAGTTGCTGTAGACGCCGTAGCATAGGACACCGGGGCGGCAGCGGCTTCAGTGCCAGACAGCAGTGCCATGAGAGCAGCATTGTCTGCTTTTCTCTTCTCCTCTTTCGCAGATGGCGTCGCTGGAACGGAGAAGCCTACCACAGAGGATGTGGGGAGCTTGCTTCGCGCGGGAGTCGAAGATGAAGATGACTGAGATGCCGCTGAATTGGCCACGAATAACGATGCCCACGACTTTTTCACGCCAGACGACGGAGCAGATGGTACCGCGCTGACCTCTTCCTCCGGTGGCGACACAGGCTTCATCGATGCCGGAGAACTGGGCATAGTCGTCGCCGCGGTAGTGGGTGTCCGGGATCGCTCTTCCTCTGCATCAGTCACATCGGTCTCCGTCCCCGTAGATGAAGGTGTTTCCTCGATCTCCAGGCTTTCCAATACCGGAAGCACCTCCTTTTCTGCGACGGGAAGAATAACAGGCGACGCAGGTGGAGTGCGCTCGTCCAAGGCACTCTCAACGATATCCGGGGGTGGGCGGGCTCGCGGTGAGATGATGATCCCCGGGGCGTGGGCTGGATTGAGCGGTCGGCGAGACCAGATCGCCCATCCACCAGCTCGAGATGGACGAGCGGAGGTCAAGTTGGAAGATGGAGTGTCGCGTTCCGAAGGATCAGATGGTGAGTCAGATGCCGGCGCAGTGTTGTCGGAGGGCGATGGGGCCGGATCCAAGGAGGAAGGCTCGGGGGCTGGAGGCAGGACGGGTGTGATGGTACTGGGGCTCGAAATCGGAGCCGTAGACGCCGGTGGCTGTTCTGGGACGTCAAGGTGAGCCATGGTCGTCTGAGCATGACTAATGCTCGAATTTTGGTCGGGGATGTAGTAAGCAGGCGTGGTCGGTGCGACGGGCGCAGTAGCAGCGTTTTTGGGTACGGGTGACAGTGGCTGAGGGGGCAAATGATGCCATGGTGCGTGGTGTGGTGAGGGCGGCGTGTACGTATACTGCTGGTGGTGGTGGTGCTGATACGGCGGATATTTTGGCTGGAGGTGGTTGGGATATGGTTGTCCCGGGTACGGCTGACGGTAGCTAGGATGCTGATACGCGCCTCCACGCGGAGGATAGCCCCCACGGCCGTTCATTCGGGGAGAGGGCATTTGGGGAGGAGGAGGCGATGGAGTGTAAGGGTATTGCGGGTATGGATAGTTCGGAGGCGCTGGAGAGTTGGTTGGCGGGTAATAGTTCATATGACCCATAGAGCCGACGCCTAACGGGCCCACAGGCACCCCCATGGATGGACCGGCGGTTGGGTCCATGGCAGCAGGTACAAGTAATGATACAAATAAGGAGCAACACTGCGTTTCCGTTGTCAACTTTGTCCTCTACCTCTATCCCGCTCAGTGCCCGTTCCAAGAACGCGCTACCAATTCCACCGAATCAGACTCCAGCAATCTTCTCCTCAAACTCCTGTCAAACACACCTATCCTCTTGAACATCCGTTCTCTCTTCGCAACCACACTATGCACACATACTCCCTCGTCACCCTTGTCCTCGCTAGCTGCATGAATAACGTCCACGCTTTTCCCGCTGCTACCTCACCCTCAGAAGCGCTTGAAATAGCTCCTAGAGTTGGAGACGCCATCTTGCCGGCCGCTGCGGCCAATAGTCCCACTCGCGGCGAAACGGAGCTTCTTCCCATCATTCAGGATCTCAAACGACAAATCCACAACGCAGACTACCACGCCAATGGCCCGCCTCCCAGTCCCAATGAGATTCCGCCCCAGGATTCTGTCAAGACTACGCCCACTACAGACAACTCGCCCACTGCTGCTGCCCCAGCGCCCACATCTGGTGACGCGAAAAACATCAAACGCACTTTGCCCTGGCTTCAAGATGTCCCTGGGCTGACTAACGCTTCTCCCCTATCTCCATCCCTCAACGGAAAGCTTTGATTCAATACTCAGGCAAGAAATTCAAGGAACCGGGTAGCGCGTAAAGTATATCGATGTTGCGACTGTAGCCAATGTAAAGATGCGTGTAAATGTTTTCGCATTCAACGTGATTGCAGAAAATCTATCACGGGCCTGTGCGCTCGATCTCAAGATCCTCGACACCGCGCACGGATATGTGTGTGGCCCCAAAAGGCGGGACATGATCTTCATCAGACTGACTGGTACTCTCAAAGCCTACTTGGCCTCAATTCTCGTCAGTGAATCATGTCTGGCCGAACCCCGTATCGGTCATCGTCGAGGCTGTACGCTCGCCCCAGCGCCGGCACTTGGGAGGGAACCAATCATCAGGCAGTAACTTCATTCCAGTGCTGTTAGAGATGCTTCTCTTTCGTCATGAGTTATCTCGTCGATGTTAATCTCATCTCGTTCGTGCTGAAGCATCGGTGCGTCAGGAAATAAACCCGCGGATTCTCGTCCGGGCTCTCTATCAATAGGTCGAGGCTGCTCACACTCGTCGGGAATGTGCTCCAATGCTTCTCATGAATGCTAGCTAAACATGATCATTGGTGTATGCACTGCTAATCGTGAGATGTCTGCACTTCAGAGGAGCTGGCCACGTACCGAGATATAAGATGCTACGGATGTTCTTTCTTCCACCGATCGTACAGTTCTAGAGTGACGCTCGAGAGGAAGCCGGGGATGCACTGCTCGGTCCCTACCCAGTATTGCATCATGTTCGGTAGATCCTCCGGGCCGCCTTCGCCCTGGGCAATCAACTGCATGTTCCCGCTCGACGACGCCCCCTCAGCCGGCTTGAAAACAAACGTCGCTGACTCGTCGTACAGCGATGTCACCCGGACCTGTCCATTTTGAAAGAAAGCAAGCTTGACACCGAGAAGCGAGGCAATCGATTCGCGGAACTCGTGCGCCTTGGCAGCGAAAATCTGACCAGCGTGGTTTAGAACGACGAACATTCTTTCGAAGCCCGGAGATGGGACGCACCTCCTGGAGGCGCTTCAGCCGTTTCTCCTTCTGTTTGACCTCGGACGTCAACTCGTCCCGCTCTTTGCACACAGCGACCCAGCTCTCGTTCGGGATAGACCCCTGCGATGCTGTCCCGCTAGTCTCAATCTGCTGAAGCAATGCAGCATTCTCTTTCTGAACTCGCTCCAACTCCGCTTGTCGCGCCATCGGACTGTCCCGCAAAGGTAAATCGGGCGTATCCTTGAATGACAGAATGCGAATTCCAGGCGGAACATGCCTCCCCCCGGCGATCTCCCCACTCAGATCAAACAACTCTTGCTCGAGCTCCTCGATCTTGTCCAAGTGTGTTTGCATCTCAGCAGTGATTGTCTCAAGAGCTGCAAATCTGTGTGAGAATTGAAGATGTGGTGACATGACGAAGCAAGGCACCTTTCTCGGCCTCTGCACGCAGAGCTTGTTCTGTCTCCAACTCCTGTTGTCGAGCCAGTGTCTCCGCCGCAGGTTCTCTTTCGCCGATCTCATTGAGTTGCTGCGAAAGAGCTGTGTTTGCGGTCTTGTATTCAGCCAAGAGGGCCTCCAAATGCTGGACCTGCTCTGCTCGCACAGTATCGATCGAATGGCCTTCTTTATTAGTCTCCTCAAGAGAATAGCTGGACTATGCGGCTGTCAAAACTGGGACATCTACCGACGAGAGATGAAATAAAACCAACCAATAAAGCTTTCATGAAGCCAACCTCTCGTTCTGCTAGCCGAACCTGCTGTTCTGCTCGCCGAGTAGTGTCTTTCAGTAGACTAACATCCGCTTCGAGCCTTTCGATGGCAGTTTGTGCTTCCGTTACACGATGCTCCGCGTCCTTCAGCTCGGTTTCCTTGGCACGTAGGTGTGCTGTGGTGACACCATGATCTTCAAGCAACCGGGCGTGCTGCAAACGAAGTATTGACAGTGCGCTTGTCTCTGACGTCGTGGGAATTTTCTCGGGGGCCCTATAGTGGGATTGAGAGATTAACAAGTCCCAGAAGGATACAAACACTGACCGCTCCTGTTTCGCAGCTTCGAGCTGTGCCTCAAGCCGGGCCACCTGCTCTCGCAGACCTTCCATAGGCTGGAGTTTCCTCTCCAGACTCCGTTTCTCTTCCCGGAGCACCTCGATGCTCGTATGCCGGTCTCGCCACAGCGCAACTTCCGCTGAAAGCTTCGCGTCTGTTGCCTCCAGCTTGCGCAGATATTCGGCTTGGCGGTGAAGTTCCTGCCTGACAATGGCCATATCGTCGCTGTCGCTGTTCACGGGGATGATGTTGTTTTGGCTGAGCTCGTTCAGCTGCCCTTGGATCTCGTCGATGGTCTGGCTGCGTTCTTCCGCAAGCAGCTTGAACTGCCCGACCTCTGCTTCGAGAACGGTGGCCTGCCGGCTGAGAGTTGTGATCTGTGACTTTTGAGACGCGATGGTTTGAGACGTGCTTCGAGAGAGTGAGGTGTGCGTGTCTTGCAGTTCGGCAAGCTCTTCTCGGAGCGCTGTCAGTGAGAAACGGAGGGTACGCAGTTCCCCGTCCTTGCCAGTCTACGCAGACGGTCGGACATGGAATCAGAAACCGGGGCCCACAGGGACGCGCGCACCAATTGCTCTTGGAAGTCGACGCGTTCTCGCTCCTTTTCTTCTCGCTCCTCCTGCTCCCGGTCAGCGAGCCATCTTCGATCGCGCTCCAGCTTCTCGATCTGCAGCTCCTTGTCCCGCAATTTCTTCTCCAGCTCCATCTTGCTCGTCTGCGCGGACGATAGTTGACGTTCCAAGGACGCATGTGCCATGTTGGACGTGAATGCTTGTGTCCGCTGTTGTCGCTTGGCCGAGGATGTTTGTGGGTCTACATGCAAGGGGAGGGAAGGTCAAGAAGCTGGTCAGAATTCGGGCAACAACCTCAGAATGGATCGGAGAGGCGTCGAAGTCTGCTCACCCCGTTCCAGCTCCGCTGTGAGAGAATCTCGTTTCATGGACGTGGACAGAGTCGAGAGCGGTCGTTGGCCACTCATCTCGGGGCCGGTTCTTCCACGGTGGCGAGCACGTCACGACAAGTGGCAAGCAGGTTTATTTCCTTTCTGGGAAGTGATTGCTTGCTGGACCGGCCTACCATGACATTCGCAGAGCACTCACGCCGCACGTTCTTTCGGAACTGGCCATTTTGGATTCACGTCTTTCACACCCATAACTGGTCTTCATCATGTCCGGCTGATGAACAATGACGCTGGCAACGGTTGAAGATTGTTGAATGACTTGTTTTGGTCTGATCTACACGTTGACACACCGAAGATGCCGATGCTCTCACCGTGGCCATGTCCAGCAACAGGTTACCATCGGACCTCACCTGGGGAGGGAACATAACCACCTCAAACGATGATCATAAATGAAGCTCGCTACTCCCACTACAAACCAGCGACGACGCACATCAGAAACAGCCCAGTGCCCAGACTCTGTGCGTACTGATCATCTTCGCAAGTTGCAGTCATACAAGTACGGAGCGGACGGCGTGTGAAGATGTTCAGTTCTCTCCCCACCTTTGTCGGGAACCCCTCCCCTTTTCTTTCTTCATTCTGTCATGGTGGCCAGAATACACCGCGGGCTAGGTGTTCTGGCATTCTTTCTTTCTTCTCTCCCCCCTTCTTCTTTTGCTATTCTTTTTGAGGATTTGTGCGTGCGCCGGGCTGGAGTGTCCTCCTTGAGCTGACGATGTCCCTCATCCAGCGCAAAGCCGGCTTTGACTTGCGGCTCCTTCGCTTTACAGTGGCAGGGAGGACTCGGTACGATGAAAACGTCTTCGATGAGACAAATCCTGATCTCAGAACCATCCGCCTCCAACAGCGCCGTGGACCCTGGTACGCGCTTCAGGAAGATCTCCTGCCGGCTTTGACTGACCGTGGCGCAGAGGTGTGTTAGCTGCAATTGAATGGGCGCGATGGCGAACTTGATGATCTATCACAGCATTCTCCGAGCGAATGACTCTAGTCTGGTGGAAAACTTGGGGGCCATTCAAGACCCGCAGTTCTCGTGGAATGTCGACGTCGCCGCCGGTGCGTTCTCTCGATATTTGGTGATAAACGCCATCTGAAACCTATTCAGGAGCCACGGTTGTCGCACAAGTGCAAGATTCGACTGGAGCTACAGCGCTCTCGAAACTTTTGACGATTCAACCTAGTGGTACGCTATTCATAAGAATCTCTTGCGTTTCTGACAAAACGTTCACACAGCTGACGGTTGTGCTCTGAAAACGCTCTTGGTCTCTCGGCTTGTGCAAAACCAGACCACCTCTGACTCTGCAGTGGCATTAACGTCTACGACGGTGTCTTCTACAACCACGACCATCTCGTCGGCGGCATCCACGACGGTCACTCCAACTATATCGCAAGCAAGTTCCAGCAGTAGTTCAGACGCGTCGCCGCAGTCCACGTCTAGTGTGGACACATCATCCAGCGCTACCATCCTGTCTTTTGCAACTCCGACTCCACCTACATCGAGCTCTCTTGTGTCTAGTGCTGTCACTCAGATCTCGAGCTCTCTCACTTCCACTGGAATCGTACAAACCACGACCGCTACAACTGATGGCACAAAAATTACCCGCAGTCTGAGCAGTGTTGGGTCACCGATTCCAACGGCTCCCACCTTTGCGGTGGTCGCACCTCTTTCGATCACACTGACTGCGACGCAACCCACGAGGTATCCGCATCGCGTTCGTTCTTCTAATGTACTGTCTCATGCTTCCGCGTTCCAGTCCCACCTCCATTCCTCCAGTGACAATCGCTTCATCGCCGGCAACCATACAATCGCCGACAGCGGTGTCATTCACGACATTGGTGTCACCGTCGGCAACCGTGCCTTCGCCAACAGCCGTGTCATCAGTTACAGTTCTGCCGCCGCCGACAATTGTCTCGACCACTTCAATAGGGACACCTGCTACGGATGTCGCTGGAACGATCATGGGTAGGCAGTGCTCCCTGTCTCTGCGACTGCAAAGCGCTGATTATTTCCACAGAGATGGCGAGCTCAACGGCGTAAGCACACTCGACCAGCCAGCTATCCGTGCAGACCTGACGTTCGTGTAGTTCTAGCGACGGAGCTGCTGGAGCTAGACTGCGAGCCTCCAGCAAAGCCATCCGGTCTCCCATCGGTCTGATCTTGGGTCTCTTGCTTCCCATTCTGCTCATTTCGAGAGTCGTTGGGCTCGTCATGCTAAGGAGGAGGAGGAAGCAACGAATTGCTGATCTGGAAGACGGTCCGAGTTCTCCCTGCCTCGCTCCGCAATCTTGTGGCTGATACCGGTCATCATGCAGGCCCGGGTAGAACGCCGACTTGGTTTATGCAGCCTGCTTACCACGGCAATGCCCAGACACTCAGCACGAACCTTGCACCCGGGATCCCACCTCCCGTTTCCTTCGACACGCAGCACTCTGGGAACGTGTATCGGCCGACGCGAGTGCCGGCGATCAGGGTCACGACGGCCAGCAGCGGTTCATTCTCTCGCGCATCTGCGCACGAATACCCCAGCCCGGCGTCTATTTATTCGACGGAATCCCATGCGCCATCGATTGCGTACCGGCCTAATGGACCTTTCGTGCCTCCCATCGTCACTGACACGGACGCTGCCTCGGAGTCCAGGGACGAGAATTTTCCTGATTCGGCAGTCCTGGCGCCGTCGCCAATGACTATGAAGTCGAATCCAGCACTCGAATCGATGGGGCAGATGGCTTTCAGGTTCCCGCCGCCCAATGCGGCCAATCTCCAACCCGGACATGCTTATTTGTAAAGTCCGGGTTTGTGTTCCTGTATTTACAATGGATTATTGATTACATCATTGTTGGTTATCTATTCCTATCTTTTGTACACACGCCTCTAGGATGCTCGACTTGACCGACGGTCCGACGCTCGACTTATCAGCTCCATTCATCAAATCAAGGACCCATAGGGTGGCGAAACACTTCGTCGATCGACCCTCTCCCCGTCGCTGTCCACTTCTTAGTGTCCCCTAGATACGCACTCGGTCCCCTCGCCCGGATTGCACCCGGTGCTTCTGCCACACACATACTTGCACATATGCGTCGTATGTTTCAGACAGCAGGCGTCGCCACCGCGGGGCCCGCGTCCGGGAGACACCGCGGTGCGCGCCACTTGTCATGGGAGGGGCGGCTGTGTGCTTACCGGCGTCGAGTGTCACATGTACCTACAGCCAAGATGCGAACCCTGTCGTGTGCGCCAGATGGAATGGGGGGACCTGGATGGGATGGGCTGCAGGCTGCCCGCTACCCTGGACACGTCAAGGATCTATGGGTCTATGTTGTGTTGCGGGCCTGCTGGCCGCTCAGAGAATGACGAGTTGGGACTCGCCCGTTCCTTGATACCGATCGCGTGCAGCCCGTGTTCTGGGACTTGGCCAGGACTGGCTAGGCCTGCTGAGGATCGGAATCAGCCGGGTTACGCAATGGGCTTCTCTGACCCGATACTGTGCAGACTCGCATAGGTATGTGTGAACAGTTTGGACGTCGTCTGCTCGTGAGGCGACGCTTTGAGGATGATCTCTGGATCCATCAGTCGGTGGGCAGCGAACGTAGCGTGCCTTGATTCAATGTGTCACCTCAGAACGTCCACTCGCGTGGGCGCAGTCGGTCGAACTGTCCGGAAACTGCCTCGCGTAGGCCACCACTACTGCCCATCTCAGATGGGTCGAGAGCTGTTGACTCCATGTAAACAGATGTACACAGCTCCGATCTAATCCCAACCGCCCGTTGTTGAATTGGCAACGACGCTATTATGACTGGACGTGCCGGATATTTACATGCACATATGTTGTAAGAATCGAGAATCCCAGTCAGTCGATGTCTACCGGCTTCGATTGTTTGTCGTGGTCGGCCATCACGACGCCCATGCTGCCGAGCGTGATCTGGGGGCATATCGAAGGCCCGGTGCAGCGCTTACCAGTACGCGCGCACTCGGCGAGCGCTGCACCGGGCGGCGTCCTCGCCTGTGTCTTTTGGAGTGCTGTAATCCCCATGATGGGAGTGCGGTTAGAACTTGCTGATTCAAAGTCTGGCGAACATATGGAAGAATCAGGTGCGTCGCGGATCGATTCTGCACAAAAATTGATTCAAAGCCGTAACACATCTATGACTGATATCTTGACCGACCTGGTCCCGAAATGGGGGTCAAGACATGAGATAGTCTGAGAAGTACGTCGATATCTGACATGTTCTCCGCGGGTTATCATGACCTGCGCGAAGCAGCCCGAAGCTCGTGGGTTTCTCGTGGCTCTCTGGATTCTGATCTTGCACCTCCGCGGCGGCAACACAGATACTATGTATTTTGGAAGCGACGAGGAAGATTGGGGAATGACCCGTTCCAGTTGTGATATCACGTGCACGGCAGTTCAATTCTTGCCTGGCATGACTTTCGAGGCTCCGAATATTAATGCACCCGATTGAAGGAACGGGAACACTGCAGAGCAAGGACAGCTGCAAGAACATGCGTTACGACACGGATCGACGCTGGTGGCTCATCCAGTTACAGCGACAGCCCGCTCTTATGTCATTTATAGATCCCGTGATGGAAGTGAACAGCTTTCATTCCAGAGGGGCCCATTGCGGTGACGTGAAGCTGGACAAGGATTCAGGCGCCCCAGCGTCACTCGCCGTCAGCGACTCTCGGGGAAGCACGCTGCGTATACAGTTGACCCGGCAGCTTCCATTGAGACAGAATTGAAATCCACATACAGTACAATTATTGGACGGCCCCTGGAGGGTGCCTGGGGCAAAGAAGTGACCAACCACCCATGTCTTTCCTTCCCGCAGGCTGAAGATTCAGACGCCATAACACACAAAACTCGGGCTTCCGCCAAGCCTCCCACGCTAGCCAAACCAGTTCTCGAACAAATGGATCTGAGGATCTCTGACCAATGGATGCCGGGCCGGTTCCAGACAATCGGCGCGTCAGGGAAGATACTGCCACCGATCGGGGTTTCAAGCACTTGCTTTCCCCTTCCAACCTCCAACTTCTTGGTCGCTCCTTCTGCAGAGTCGCAGCCCCGGCTCTCGCGCGCGATGCCCTCGACGAGTTTCATTGCTATGGAGCAGGACATGCAAGTCCGCCCTTCTGATGCGTGTTTCCCACGGCGCTGAAGCATTTTAACTTTCAAGGGTACTTGATAGCGGCAATAATGGCGGGGATTCTTCGGTTACGACCGCAAGCTCGCTCCTGAACGCAATTAATGACGACGCTGGCCGACTCGCGAGCGCGGGCGGCAGCAGCGGAAGTGGGGGCAGCGGGAATGGGATCACCGCTGAGGCACGCAAAGGTGGGCCCCCGCAAGTGCGCTCGAGGATCACCGTGGTACGTTGTCGCAGCAGCTGCTACCCGCGCTGTCCCGTGTCTAATCACACCACCCCCCTCACAAGGTCTGCGCCGAGTGCAAACGGCTGAAACTCAAGTGCGATCGGAAAGCCCCTTGCTCGTCGTGCGAGAAACGGGCGACCGTCGCTCGCTGCATCTACTCCCCAGCCGCCGCCGAAAAGGTCGATCTGCACTCCCTCAACAACAGGCTCCTCACCGTCGAGGAGGCGCTACGCACATTAAAGGCAGCCGGTGTCGATCTTGGTAGCCATCACGCCGACCCGATGGCAGCGGCCGCAACCGGTGCCGGTTGCGACAACATGCAGTCGAGCTCCTCCCGGTCGTCGGGCTCCAACCCCTCCACCCCACTCAGCATACCGCTGGAGGAGCTGGGCGACATGTGGCTCGGCCCGCTCCACATCTCCGCGCCGTCCTTCCCACCCCATCAGACATCTTTCCCGGCGCACCTCCCCGCAGAGGCACTCGACCCCAACGATTTGCTGCGCCACATGCCCGCGTCGTCGGAGCTACATGTGCGCTTGGCCGCTGCCCGGCGCGCGATCAACGACCTCGCCGGGGGCGTCGGCGCGCTGTTCGAGTGGGACTGGTTCGAGGCGCGGGTGTATGCCTTCACCGGCGCGCTGCTCGAGGCGGGGCAAGCCGGGCGGTCGGCTCACCCGGCGGGCTTTGACGCCTCCGCAGCGGCGGCGGCGGCGTCGCCGTCCGCCAAGGACGCCAAGCGGAAACAGCGCGAAGCCATGCGCGACAAGGCGCGCGCGATCTTCTCCGGGGGACAGCAGGGCCCGTTCACCTCCTCCGCGAGTCTCTCCGCGGCCCTGATGCTTGCGAACGAGGCGTGGTCGGACGAGATGGACGAGGACGTCACCGACGATGCCGTGTTCCTGCGCCATCCGTCGCACAAGGGCAAGCAGCGCGCCGCCGAGCGCCAGCACGCGCAGGGCAGCGGCCGGCGCGGCGACGCAGGGCTTGCGTTCTTCTCGCTGGTGTGCGCCGTGCTGTCGCTTTCTGCCGACGCTGGCCCCGACGAGCGGCAGCGGCTCGCTGGGCTCGCGATGTCGGCGGCCCGCGTCTATTTCTGTCCCACCGCCGAGGCTCTGCCGCACCCGCTCCCGATGCCCTGGGACGAAGGGGACCCGGATCTGGATGCGGTGCTGGGGATGTGGCTTTTCGGTGTCGGATTATTCGCGCGGTCAGACGAAGGGAGCTATGTCCATGTGCGTTTCATGATTACCTTACGGATGACACTGCTCATTGACTGCAGATTAACCAAACGCTCGGATACGCACGGATGGCAGGACTCGACCGCGACGCAGCCAAACTGACGAATGTGCCCATCGTGGATCCCGACGCACATGAACTGAAAACGGAAGACGAGCCCATCTCTATCTCGGACTGGCGACAGGCGCTGAGGGCTAGAACCTGGTGGGCTTTGTGTTTCGGCGACATGTAAGCTTCTATTTCAGGAAATTGCGCTCTCTGTCTCATATTCACTCTTTCAATACAGGATGGCCGGCGACATGTTAAGTATCGGAGGCAATGTTCCGTTGGGCACCCGGGACTGGAAATGTGATCCCGACCCGCTTGACATGCGCTTCGACTGGGTCCCTGCGTCAGATTGTGACGCTGATTCGACATGTGAAGGAAATGGGAGGAAAGCGGGGTCTTGGCTCCGGTGCGTTCTGTGATTGTTGCGAAGGAGCGTTGATTTTTGACACTCTGGCAGACTCACGCGGCTGCTGCATTCTGGTGCTTCGGAGGAGAAGCTCTCGGAATGGGAGCAAGAGGCTTCCGGCAGCGTACATTCTGCAGAGGTGGCGTTCATGGCTGCCCGGATCAAGCTGCGCAATTGGGTCTGGACGGAGCAGGTGTGCAATCCCCTCATCTTTCCACCGTTCACTCTCTCAGCCTGTGTGTTTCTTCCAGGAACAGCGCCATCACGCGCGCTCCACGCCGTCGTCGCACCTTTCCAGCGTGGTCAATGCTGCACACACCGTCGTGAAGCTCGGCGGAACCCTGTCTGCGCTGCCGGGGCCGTATCGCCCGACGCTGGCGTTGCTGGTGACCAGCCCGGCCCGGACGCTTCTCGACGCGGCCGTCGTCTGCGCATACGCGATTAAGACGTGGCCAGACGCCGTGTTCGTGGCTGGGGCCAAGGAGGCGCTGCGCGAGGCGGTGACGCTGCTGCAGAGCTCGGTGCGATTCGCGGATTGGCACGGGCGGACCGAGGCGGGCCGGATAGGGGAGGCGCTGGTGCGGCGGACAGGAGTCGGGTCGTCGCAGCGGAAGATAGACGACACGGCGAAGAAGCGCAGCTATCCGAGCGTCGGTATCCGGGTGCGGCCGAACAAAGAGGGGCTGCCGACGTCGCCGCTTGTGGTGGGGCGCAAGACGATGTCGCGCAAGTCGTCCCCGATCCCGATCCCGCTTCCGCAGGACCCGGGCTACTTCGCCGCCCCGGCGGAGGCGTACCCCCCGGCCGAATATAGCGCGTATTCGACCCCGTATACGACGGAGTCGCCGGCGGGGTACCACACGGAGTCGCCGGTGTCTCCCGAAGTCTACGAGACGAGGGCTGGGTCGTTCGAGTCTGAAGTCTACGCGAGCAGTCCCTATGGACAAACCAGCTCGCCTTTCACTGCCGGGTATCCAACGCAGCAGCAACAACAACAGCAGCAGCAGCAGCAGCAACAGCAGCAGCAGCAACAGCAACAGCAACAACAGCCGTACTACGAATATCCACCGCCGCCCCCTCCGCCGACGTTCGCCGAAGTGGCGTGGGACAGCCAGCCGCAGCAGCCGTACTGGCAGCCGCAGGGCGAGTATAAGTTCCAGGGATACCCCACCATGACCATGTAGTTAGTTTAGTGTTCGTTTCGTTTGTATGTGTAATAACAGTGCCAACAAGTACCTAGTACATAGAGACCGATCAATCGATGAAGTGGATTTCACTTTCACGCTTTCCATCCGTCTCACGTCGAGTATGAGTAGGGCCCGGGGCGCTTGACGTCCTCGTCCTCGTCGTTGTCGTACAATCCCCGCTGCTGCGGCTCGTCCCGCTGCACCCACACCTCCTGCATCACCGTCGGCGGCTGCTGGAACACCCACGCCCCGCGCTCGAGGTCTGCAGCGCGCCGCCGCCGCTGGCGTCTCAGCCGCACGAGGACGAAGCCGAGGAGCAGCGCCAGCACGAGAAGGCCTGGGATCAGCAGCCCCAGGATAAGCCCGAGGTGCGTGGAGGGGGCGGCGGCGGCCTTTTCGGGTTGTTGCGGCGACGGCGGCGACGGCGAGGATGTTGAAGATGGGGAAGAGCCAGACACGGACCTGCGGGTGCGTTATTCGAATCAGCTAGCTCGATTTCGTGGAACAGGCGGTCGCTTTCACCCGGTGGGAGTCGGGCGGCCCGATGCTGCTGCTGCTGCTGCAGGGACAGTTAGCGATGGGATAACAGTTGACCCAATTGCTCTAGGGCGCACCGGTGGCTCTCAATGTCCCCGCGGGTGCTCGGCCAGCGGTCGAATTTGGGGGGCCGGGGGCGGGGCTGGGACTCAAACTCAGTCACGTCTGCGGGAAAAGCTCTCAAGAACAAGCACGGACCTGGGTGCGGCTCCCGGCGGCGGAGCGTTCGTCGTCGCCTCCGTGGGCCGTCCGAGGACGCTGGTCGGGGACGCGTTCCCGGCGGTGGCCGGAGCCCCCTGCGCGGCGGTGCTGCAGGTAGCCGCGCTGTTAGCCAGATCATAGAAGAGGATGGATACACGGCACATACTTTGGGCTGGCGGTGCCGGCGGCGGCGTTGGGGTTCGGCGGCGGGTTGGGGCTGCCGGCGGGGGCAGAGGACACGCTGATGACGGCGTCGGCCGTCGCTGCGGTCGACGTGACAGCAGGCGCTGTATTAGCAGCACCGGCAGCGGCATTAGTAGCAGTAGTAGCAGCAGCAATCGTGCTGGTCGAGAGCAGACTGGTGGTAGTCTGCGGTGCGTTAGCGCTGGCCGGGGCGGCGGCGGTCACGGAGGTCGCCTGGGTCTGAGCCGGGCTGGAAGTCACATCCACAACCGTAGTCGCACTCGACGGCAGACTCAAACTCCCGCCCAGGTTCCCCAAAGTACAATCCTCGGCTAGGAAAGCGCGCCAAATCAGCGAGCCATTCGCGCAAGGACCGAAACGAGATCATGTGACGCACACCCAGCGCCGATCGTGACCGGCTGCGACAGAGCCGCGGCGCCCGTCGCGTCCTGCACTTGCACGATCACCGTGGTACCTGCAGCGCTGCCCGTCAGATCCGAGCCAACCGGTACGAAGAAACCGCCGACCTGCTTCGACATTGACAGTCCAGTCGAAGGACGTCTCGTTGGAGGAGGAGCCGAGGTCGGCGGCCACCTGCGAATCGTTCGCTGCCTGGATGCTGGCGTTCCGTTAGGACAATCGATCGACGCTTCAATGGCCTGTGCACAATTACCTCTGTGCAGAACCTTAGCCGCATGCGGCAGCGACGGATGGAAGGATGCGGAAATCATGCGTACCAATGTCCACGGCGCTGCGTGCGGGGATGCGGGTGAGCATTACGAGGCGAAACAAGGGATGCAGCGCACGCACCGACTCCCCCCTGCCATCCAATCGGGAAATCCTGGCACGTCAGCGCCGTGTTCGCGCTGCGATTAGTTCAGTGCACGGTTCACGGCGAAGAGCAGGGGCGCGCAACGCGCCGCGGCGCACAAGTCGTCGACGGTGAATGACGCATCAGCAGCGGCGGCGGCACTGGCATAAGCGAACGAAACCAGTAAAGACAGTGAAAGTGCCGGGATGCACGGCCAGCGGTGCATCGGGGCGAGTGAAGGGTGGGTGGAGGAGGAGGAGGAAAGAAGCGACCGCGGAGCCCCGGCCTCCAGGCCACCTTCTCGCAATATTTGGAAGCACGCGGCGGACCAGGCCACCGTCACTGTCACCGCCTTGATGCGGGTCGCCCAGTGGACGATCTCGCCGCCTGGCCGTCTCCGTCATCCGGGGTGTCGACACACACCATGAGCAAGTTCCTAGGCCGGCATCCAAGAAATCAGAGACGCGTGTTGTGAGTGGGAGCGCACGCATCCACGGATCACAGCACCCATGCTCTCTCTCTCTCTCTCTCTCTGCGTGCCTGCCGGGTCGGAGAGGCCCAACGCGCGCAGGTGGAGGACGAGAAGACGCGGCGTGCTGATGGGCGTTTGACAGATCTTGTGGACAGCAGCTGTCATTCCAGCAGTGGCTGTCCGGCGCGTACCACAAGTCGGGATCAGATCAGGCGAGGCCACAAGGGAGTACACATGCACCCATCGTGAGCGTCGGCTGTCTGGACTGACCGGCTGGCGCCCAGAATCAGCTCCGGCTAACACGAATACCCGGCCACGAGGGTCCGTCGCCATCTCCGTCTTTCTCTGTGAGAGAGTCACGAAAACTTACATTCATAACCAGCACACATATAGCAAGCATACAAGTACAAGTACAATCGCACAAAGACAGACACACGGCCTCGGCGGACAGCTCAAGTCATAAAGACATACCGGGGATCCGTGTCCCAGATCTCCTCGTCCACACCCCGTTCCTGCTTCGCCTCGGCTCCAGCCTGCACCGCCCGGTTCCGCTTGTTGAGCGCCGAGAGCCGCGTGCGCAGGATCAACGTCGCGAGGAACGCCAGTGCCAGCATCCCAGCAGAAATCGCGTGCCTGTGTGTGTGTATGTGTGGTTTGTCACCTGATAACAAGACACAGGCCGCGCTTACCCTTTGCGGAACGAGTCCTCCGGGTCAAAGTAGATCTGCGGCGACGCTCTATAGTCGGCAGCAGTCAGTTCAAGCGCCGGAAGATTACACAGAGCGAGGATGCGCCACCCACATCGAAACACAGTTGGAGACCGACACGATGAACGCGGTGCCGACGCCCCGTTTAGATGTCGGCGAGAACACATTCGCAGCCCAGCTCCTGCAGGCAATTTATTATTCAATACACGCCACAGCCCACAGACCCGAAACGGACGCACATGACGAGCGGGAAGAGACTGTAGTTCGCGCCGACGACGAGGAACAGCGCAAAGTACGCCGCGCCGATGCTCTTCTTCATCACACCCGCCAGGATGACGTAGCCGATGAACGACACCGCGCAACTGACCATGATGTGGTACCCGCGCTCGCTGCAAAAACAAACTCGGCATCAGAGTTTTCGAGTCACATCGAGGGAACGCACTGGGTCCGGTCGCTGTGCCATGCTTGGAAGACGACCATCAGCCAGCCCACGGCGTACGGCGCGACAGTGAGCCCTTGGGCGTTGATAGCGGTGAAGCCGAGATTCTTGATGAGCTGGTGAAAAGGACCATCAGGAACAACACCCGCCATGGGTCAGCGCCGGTTCTCACCGTGGGCAAAAAGTACGAAACAGTCGCCACGCCCACGTTGACTGCAAGCGTACATCAGCCACACGCTTCGCACCCGCAGACACACACCCACAGCTCGCATAGATCAGGACGAACAGCCACGCGTTGGGGTCGGCCATGATCACCTTGAGCCCCTCCACGCCCGTCATCCCCCCGTGCGATTGGGGCTTGTGGTCCCGGTTCAGCCGCGCCTGCGCAATCGCACGCTCGCGCGGGGTCAGGAACGACGCCGAGAAGGGGAACGACGGCAGAAACAGCAGGATCGAGAAGGCCATGATAATCTGGAACGAGCATGAGCGCAGCGTTCGATTCGGGCGTGTGTTTCGTAGTTCGTACGGTGGGAATAGCCTCGATCTGGATGTCATTCAGCCCACGGATCACGAGGACGCTGATGGAGTTGACACACCAAGAACAAGAATTGCCAGCCCTCCAACAACGATGTCTTGGCACGGACGAGACCAAAAGCAAGCAGACCCTGCAGTGCTGTTCAGATAGGTAGTCAATGAGGCAATGGCTCCTTACACCAATAGCTCCCGGAAGTGTGCCGGTCATGCAGAGACTGATACGCATAGCAAGCTCGTGCCTACCAAGCGTCAGACGGCACTCGAGATCGTGCAAGGTCCATGCTCACTTCTTGTACCAGAAAGACAAGTAGTAGATCATCCCAGCCTGGCGAACGGAATCAGATCCAGGTTGACCGATGGCCGGTCAAACACACGTAGTATCCCGCCTGATGAGTTCGCGGATGAGTCCCAGCCCCCAACACATGCCAATGACAGACGTACCTCTCCGATGCCCATGAGCACCCTTCGGACGAATCAGCCACCAGCTCGATCCTCACGGGGAAGCACATACCGAAGCACGAGGAGTCCGGCGTACCCCTTGGCATAGACGACCGAAAGCGACGCGATGCCCCAGAAGTTGAGCGCAAGGAAGAAGCTGCGCTCGAGGTCACGGCTCATGGCTTGGACACGCGAGTGGGCTTGAGGGATGCTCACAACCGATTGGCCCCGATGTATCGCTGGAGAATGTTCGCCGGGATCTCGAGGAGGCCTATGGGTTGGTCAGAGTCAAGCCAAGTCAGAGCAGGGATCGGCTGACAGTATCCGACGTAGAAGATGCTGAGCGCGAGCGTCCACTTGTTGTTGTTCGTACTGCAGCCTATCAGAGGGTGCGATGCATTTATCATCGATCATCGCACATTCCCTGGAGGCTATTGAGCAGACGTCCCCGTCAACATGGAGCCGGCTTACAAAGTTCTTGTTGAAAGCGGTCAACGTATGAGCGTTTCCGCTGTTATGGTCAATGCCAAAACGCCTGCAAGGATCGCAGATCTCACATGTTGGTGCGGTCTGGGAGGTCGATGAGCTATAGGACGTCCCGCCGAGCATGACCACTCACCGAATTGGTTGACTGCACGGGCTCAATCAACGAGTCCAAAAAGACCGAGGAGCACGCACATATGTAACTACAAGGGGACATGAGCGTGCAATCCAAACAAAAGCATCATATCGTACCTGGCCACAATCAGAGGCAACACGACGCGGTCGATCTTGCGCCGGACGCGTCGCTGCGGGTGGATCACTCAGTACCGCGCCGAACGCGTGACAGCAACAAAACCAGGAGCACCTCCTCAGCCTGATCGAACTCGACGCCCTCCGCGTCCAGGTTGACGGCCTCGGCGTACGAGCGGTCGAGCGGCGAGAAAAAGTGCTTCCGCGTCGCCTTGGGGCCGAGCCGGCTCTGGTGGTACACGCCGTCGCTCAGCTGTTGCGAGTGGTCCTCGACGTGGCTCGCGCTCGCGCCGTCCGATTTCTCGTTGTCCATGTCTCTGAGTCGGGATCGGGATCGGAGGGGGACCGCTGAACGAACGCGGACAGGGATTGGACCTGGGATTGGGACTGGGCCTCGGATTCACACCCCTGCGTCAATTCCCGTTTTAAAACATAGCCGCCCATCTCCCATGTCAAGCGACCCGGGGCAGCTGACCAGGGATGGATTTGGGATAGTCGCGGTTACGTTGGGGGCGTGGGCCCGGGTGCGTGGCGCGTGGCCGAAAGCGACACGGATACGACTGACATGCTTTTTTTATGTAGTACGTGGTCGAAATCGGACAAGCGAGGCTCGTGAAATGCGCGCGAGGTGTCAAAGCGCGCATTTGGAAGTATGCTCCCGTAGCGCAATATACCACCCATCGTCGATCCCTGTTCCTAGCCGATGGTCGCAGTGAGGCAAAGGTTGACTGATAGTGATACAGTGGCGGTGCCGGGACCATCACATAACTAGAATTTCGATAACGGATGATGGACGCCCACGAACGGCTTCATGGGACCGCGATTCAATTGGAGGGATGACATAGCCAGACGGAAAGGCCACACACATGACCAACCCGAGGCCGAAAACCCGATTTCCTTCTCATTTCCGGATACATAACTGGGTGAACGTATCATACTTTTGCGGTGATTACTGCGCGGCGATACTCGCGACCGTGTAGTCTGGAACTTGAATCGCATCGGATCACGCGCAGATAGGTACAACGTTCATCCATCGTTCACAGAGCCTTCTCAAATAACGGTGTGCCTCATCTTCACCTCACAGAGACCTTCGTCAGTCTGCAAAGGGAGGCGATTGATCTCACGCAGATCCAGGATCCGAGAGCCCTTTGCAGCACTCGACAGTCATTGCTGTTCGTAGAGTTTTGCACTCGTTTTTCTATACGGAGCTATGCTAGGGACTGGCCAGTCTCGTGCGTTGTCCCGCGGTTCCAGTGCATCAGCCGACCACGGCATCAATGAAAGCTGGAATGTCGGTGTGCCAGGAACAGAAAGCCAAGTCCAGAGGGTGTGTATTTTGCAGAAAGGAGGGTCGCTCTCATGGGAGAGACGAGATCAGCTGTCGGCGCTCCGTCAGCGAGATCCAGGGTCATCATCAGCCATCTCTCCAAGTGCGGGGTGAACGGGAGACAGGAACGCGCAGTTGACAGATTACATAGAGTTATGCCACAGAATCGCCTCCTGGGATCCGTAAAACGAGCAGCTAGGGCAGAAGGGAGTGTTGACAGGCGCCATTCGAGCTGTTCATACGCCGTTCAGGCGCGGTTTGACCATTGCGCGAGAGTAGAGCAGCTGGGAACACGTTCCGATCCCAGTCAAAGAATCCACGGTTTCAAGGGGATACAAGTCTTCAGGACCAGGGAAGAGCCCGGACAAACGATCGGGCATGCCAATGCGGCTAGTGGAGTGCGAGTTTTCGAAATGAAACGGAAGAGAACCGGAGATGGCCACCCGAGCCCAAGAATCCTGGAACAAAGAACAAGCTGCAGCCCTCCGATGTCGCTGGCGTCAACTGAGATGGTCAGGTGGAACCGCCTGTGAGTGATCATGATTTGGCAATCGCAGAACAGAGACACGTCCGATGAAGTGGACAGTCCCGTTTCCAGTTCGCCCTGTCCAGCATTCAATATCTCCAGCCCTTAGAGTGCGCCCTGTCAGAGTGCGCCGGGGTGGACGACTCCGAGTCCGAGGGCGTGCCAGGCAAAGAACAACATCCTGCCAATAGACACACACAAAAGCGCCAATCCCACCAGACGGAACCCCGCAGAGGATGCAATAGATAGACCACGGGTTCCATCCGAGAGGCAATACAGTTTGTCGCGAAGATGACCACAATCGTTTACGGAACACAGAACGGATGGGACAAGAAAGGGACGCCCTGAATTCGGTGTTCCGTGATACGAGTAAGCCAGCGCCGTCTCTTGACGAGTTGGATGATCAGACGGGACTTGGCTAGAGCTGGAAAGGATCGCGTGCAGCGTTGCCGGCGGCACAAACGAACCACTGTATCGACAATATGAAAATCGGCTGAATGTCTCCGAGGAGGAGATGCCTCGTCGCGACGGATCCCAAGACAGACTTCCGCACACTCGAAGTCGTTATCCTTCGCCTCATGTTCCACGCTTCCGACGACGCGCGATACCGAGTGCGCATGGAGGAGATTGTGCTGTGGAGATCGGGGACGATATGTCCACGGGCAGGAGGATGGGCGCAACACACCCGTTGACGGCCTGGGACGGCCGGAGCATCGAGCGGAGACTGGGCTGCGGTATCGCTTTCGGCGGGTGCTGACACACGAGAAAGCGATTGTCACTCACCGCGGCCCGGGCCTGACTAGTCTCAGAAAGACATAAACGGTGTTCGCTTCGCCATTCCATCGTCAACGAAGCGGGAGCACAACTAGGCTCGAAGACTAAACGACCAGACGCGGTTCAGACCCTGCTCCGCTACTTGTCAGTAAGTGGTGCGTGCTCTCGGTGAGGGCGGCGGAACTCCTGCTAGCTTGGGATGTATCACGGAAATTGCACGCCTGAGGCCTGCCCCCCCCCCCGCATACCCGGACCGGACGCGACTGATCACAAGAGGAGTGCGGTCACGGACACACACCTGTCACAATCAATGTCACTCAAGGTATCACTCCTTATCACTCCTCCGACTTCCAGTCCTGTATGCTCAGTGCTCTCCTGCTTCTCATCAATGATGTCCGAGTCTCTGAGCATGTATCCTTTGATTCGTGTTTCTGCTTTCGCAGAAGATCGATTCAATCTCCCTTTCTTAGGACGGTTAACATATCTATAAGAGGGAGGCACCATTCCTCATAGCGATCACAAAGGAAGGTCTCACTGTTCCGACGCCACCCCTCCTCTCTCCCTCCGAAATGCATTTAATCAATGCAGCCGCCGCTGTACGGCAGCCCTGCTCTTCTTTCACCCATCACCATGTCTCTGCCCTCCTCGTCCTCGCTCGTGATCCATCCCGACGGCGCACCCTGTTATCTCGACACAAGCGCGAATCCGGACGAGGCAATGCTATCGGCCAGTCCATCGTACTCCAGCACTTTCTCAGACCTCGAAAGGGGGCCCCAGGACACAGACGGCGCTCTGGTGCGAGAGAAGGACGCAGCGCCCGAGGTGGACACCGTCACACCGAACCGACGACCGGGCCGCTCAGCCCTGCGCTCCTGGATCCCGAAGAGCCGGTCGATGTCACTCTCCTCCCGCCCCAACAAGGTTCGTTTCGAAGACACCGATCAGCTCCCTGTCCACGCGCACACGTACCCGGATCCGGATGAGGAAGAGACAGAGACCGTCGCCCTCGTCTCGCCTCCGAAGACCAAGGCGAACAGCGAAAAGGGTGGCGGTGGCGGTGGCAGGTTCTCGACAGGCCTCAACGGCGGCGGGCGCCACGGGCCTGGACACCCCCCGCGTGCGGCGTACAACCCGACCGTGTTCGAGCGGCGACTGCAGACCGGGAGCTGGTGTGCTGTTCTTGTCTTACTCGTCCTTGCTGTGTACTTCATCCTGCATGAGCGGTAGCCTGAGATTGCTGGGCATTCTCGCTGTACTGTTTTGTTAATCCTCAATTTGTGTAAATTATCACGGAACCCTCGGGATTGTGGCGTGACAGATGTGCCCACCCACTGCGTGTAAATCGCCGTCTCCTCCCCACTGCTCACTTTGATAAGTCTTGCGGCCGTCCGCCGCCCGCTCAGCTTCAACGGCGCATCAGCGGGCTGTACCTTGGAGTGATCGGCTCGTTGCGCATCAGCTCATCGCTCTGATGCACTGATCATGATCTCATCATCTTCCTCCCCCGGCATGGCCAGTTATTGCTGTCTGATGCAGCTGCGAAAACTGGCAGACGAGCACAGCGCATGGCGGGAGATCTCGTCCCATCAGCGCCAGGGCCGACTACCCTAGTAACGAGACCAAGGATGGAAAGACGCTGGTCCTATTCGGGATCCCCACGCACTGGTCTGCTCATTCGATTGAACCTCTCCCATCCGTTGCGGGCTGCAGGAAGAATAGCGATCGCTCGGCGGTATCGAGGAAAGTGTTTGGTGATGCACAAATGCACCCTTCCCTAGCTTGTAGCGACTCGGATCGTCACGAAGTTTCTGGGAAATTCCCTTCCGGACAACTGTATCCTGTGCTCAAAATCCCTTTGTGTCGCCAGCTGTGGATGCTGGTAGAGGCAGCGGCGGCCCTGCAGACGCTCGAGAAACCGTCCTCCCCCCGTGACAAAGACTTGCAGCTGTTCGACAATACGTCTACGCGCCTCACTCGACTGATAGAGTTCCGCAACAGATGCTCGCCGCAGCGATCCCCCGCGGCGTGCAGAAGATGTGGATGAAATCAGGGCATGGAGGAGAGCTGCGGGGCTCGCCACCTTGCGACAAACGAGGCCAACCCTGGATTTTTCGGCCCAGGGCCCCGGGTCTGTGCTCACCTGCTCTAGGTTATCTATGCGGTGCAGCTCTAAGAAAATTGAAATGGCATTGATGGACTTGGCATGCGTTTATGGAACTTTCAACTCGGTCGAAGTGTCCGGTAGGTCTCGTGAAGGGCACAAGGAAGAGATCGAGGACTCTTTTGGACTCTTTCTGGCTGCTTCGGAGAAACGAAAACTGCGCGGAGCCCCCGATCGTACTATTTTCCAGATGCACCAACGGCGCCATGTTCTGGCCGAGATGTCTTTCTACCCAAGGCTGACTGAATAAAAGATTAGATTACCATAGATTAGATTGGGATCAGGATAGATGGTCTACAGGGCCGCAAGCAGGGTCCGTGCCAAGTGCAGTAGCATGCTCTAAGCTCTTCCCATGTGGCTGCCTCACCGTAGATTACAAGCTCCAAGATTGATATAGCTCTGCGATAACGGGAAGGCAACAGTTTTGAGCGTTACATTGCATTGTCCCTCCAAGATCTTCCGATGATCCCACGCGGTGGCCACACTAAAAGATCGCAGAGCTGTCGAGCCTCGAGGTCAGGTCGATGAGGAAGTACTCGACCAAAGATACCAAGGTCTGCCTCGTGGGCGACAAGTTTCGCCAGCACCTAGACCCGGGAGACAACCCAAGTTTCGACCTGGAGTGCGTCCCTTGATCGGTTCGATCTAACCTCCGACCGGCAACACATGTGCTCAAGGCAGAGCCCAGCCGCCTCTTCACACCCTGTCCGGAACTTGCACGTCAGGAAAGAATGGGATCATCGAGTGTCATGAGGGTTCGTCACAGACAGATGCTTGTGCCCACCAGATGCTTACCACACGAAAAATCCAGCGCAGAAATGGATAAATAAATTACGTGCGTTGCGGTTTACAATACAAAATTGGCCAGAACCAACTCATAAGGTCGTCATGGTAGTTTTACCCATTAGATCGGCTCCACCATTCCCAGGTGACCGACCGAACCCTCCCAGTATCATGAGAACATACACTACAACAACAGTCTAGTACTTGGAGTACTGTAATCAGAAAGTCAGCCAACAGATCCGGGCGTAATGACAAGTGAGCAAACGCACCACAACGCTGTCCTCGACGTAATGTGTCGAGCAGTCCATCTCAGCCAGGGACACGATCTTCGACTTCTTGACGAACTTGTAGCCGAAGTAGAGGATGATGAACCCGGGGATGTTGATGTAGTTGGAGATGAACGACTTGTAGTCGAAGGGAGAGACCATGAAGGCTTCGAAACCATTGAAGAAAGAGATGGTCGCAAAGCAGATCAGGGCGATCCACGCTGCGTAGGGCTGCGTCCACGAACGGAACGGCAGCTCGTCCCGGCTCAGGCCCTGCACCTTCATGGCGCGGTACCACCGGATGTGCGACAGACAGACACCCATCCATGTGATCAGCGACCCGAGGGTAGTGATGTTCGAGAGCCAGTTGAACGCCTGGTTGGCACCGGACTGACCGCAGGCTAGGTAGCCAAGCAGGGCGAACAGCGCGGAGAAGGCAAGGGCGTAGATGGGGACACCGTTCTTCAGGACCTTGGCAAAAATGCGGGGAGCCTTGCCTTCCTGAGCAAGCATGAAAAGCGAGCGAGAAGACGAGTACAGGAACTCGTTTCCGGACGAGAAGGCAGAGGTCAGGACGACCGCGTTGATGATGTGAGGGAGGACCTTGATGCCAGCCACCCTGATAATGATGACGAAAGGAGACTCGGCAGCGGTTCCGGAGCCCTCAGCGTTGGCCTGCAGCAGATCCGGCTGGGTCTGACTGATGCACATGCCGACGAGCAGGACGGCGCAGCAGTCTATGAACCCAGTCGGTCAGTTAAGGAACGCAGCAACGAATTATCACACAACGCACAGAGGCCGACGATACGGTAGAAGATGGCGCGGACAGCAGTCTTCATCGAAACACGGGGGTTGGCGGCCTCGAGACAGATCATGGCCAGTCCCTCCATTCCACCGTCTAGATGATAATCAGTAAGAAGCAGGGCCGAGTACAGAATGCATTTGACGCACAAGAGAAGGCCGCCTGGGTCAGAACGGCCCAGAAACCGAGGAAACGGGCCTTAGAGGCGGGAACAACTGAGAAGAAGTTGTTGTTGAAAGGCTCATCGCGCCAGTAGCGGAATCCACGACGATCGTGGTCGGGGCCTCCACCGAGGTCGACAACGAGAGCCATGATGATGAGCCCGATGACGGTGATGATTTTGATGAAAGCGAAGACTGCGAAAAGATGAGCATGAGAGCACAGGGAACAGGAAGGATCACGGACCGAATTCGAATTCACCAAAGTACTTGACACCACCCAGATTAACGCCAAAGATAAACAGCAGCATGACAGTCACGTAGATCGCCAAGTGCTTGGTGTCCTGGTCCCAGAACTGGATGACGATGGCGGCGGCGACGATCTCATTCGGTGCGGTGATGGCTGCCTGGAACCAGAACTGCCACCCCATAGCGAAACCCATAGCCGGATCGACGTAGCGCGACGAGAACTCGATGAAACCACCAGCGGAAGGATCCCACACCATCATCTCGCCGAGAGAGTACCTAAGGATGCGGCATTAGGGGGGAGTGGATGTCCGAAAGCGACGCAACGCACATCATGAAACCGACCAGGATGCCGACGATGAGGTAGCCCAAGAAGGCACCGACGGGCCCACCGTTAGTCAAGGCTTTTCCGGACTAGAGGAGGCAGGGGTCAACACGGGCAGCCGGCGGAAGGGGCATGTACGTACACCCAAGAACACTAGACAGAGTATCAGTTACCGGAGCAGAACACAAAGGAGAGAACGCACATCCAGTTCCGAGAGTACCAGCGATGGCAATCATGGAGACCTGACGGCCTTTGAGGGTACGGTGCATGTGCCCCGCCTCGCCATCGTGCGGGACTTCCTGGGAGGTCACGTCGCCGGACGAGTTGGCTTTCTTCTCGATGTCGTAGTCGGCCATTGGGAGTGTAACCGAGAGAGGACAGAGGCACGGACAAAGGGAAGGGGAAAGTCGACTGAAGCCGTGAGACCTCACCCATTTTTATTTCCACCACGGCAGATCGGTTTCGCCCGATACGGGTGTAGGCATGTGGTTACTCCCATCACGTCACGGCAGCTCCATTCAAATACGCACAGCCACAGATAAGCCTCCGTTTCGCTCCCTGGGTAAAAAAAAAACTACATAGACACGTACGCCGATCCTTGGTTGCAAAAACCACGAGCGGATATCGTACCTGCACTTGGATCACACCTTGGCCGAATCCTCCCATCGTTGGACTCGCAGTCGCTTTCGAAAGCTGTCTGGTAGCTGATCATCCCAAATGTCAGGGCTGACTTCGGAAGCGCTGCATTGCTGTGCGCGTCAGGTAGAGTGATTTTTTTGTGTTGATGTACAGGCTGCAGCCTTGAGGATTCTATACCCGCACACAATTTGACCAACGAGGAGATCGGCGATGGAGCAACTGCGCATCAGGGCAAGAGATCAACCATGATCATGCACTTCCTGCCGACATCTCCATTCTGCATCTCTGCTTCTTGACCGACGCTGGAAGTTGTCGCATCTGTCACTCGGACATAACCACCTACGTCCTGCTCGTGTGATTTTCCTACGACGTCCGTTACTTCTCCTTCCTTCGCAATTATCCCCGACACGGGAATGAAAAATCACATCTTCCCCGCACAGGCCAGATAAGCGGGACCTGCGCTCGATCGTCATTTTCCGCCAAGAAACGGACGTTATCAAGGCGTCTCCTGTTTGAATTCTTTATCATGATCCTGATTCCTGAACATGCTGGCCTTGTCCAGCCGACGTCGAGTGCCCCATGAGCGAGTCGAGGTCGGTACACAATCCTCCGTGTTTCAATATAACCGACTGATTTGGGCAGTGCCAAGTCAGACTGACTGGCCGATCGTGTGAGTTGGTTCTTGAATCTCTGACTCTCGCACAGTATACGTATCCAACCACTTCACAAGCCGGGATGCATAAAACTCCTCCGTTGTTTAATGGGACCGAGGAACGGGTTCTTCTTTTCGACATTCGACTTCTTTCTCGTCTGCCGCCGGTAGAAGATCTTCGTCGTTCGATTTTCGATTTTCGAATCCATCCCCCTGAGATTACTTCCGCTTCCTGATGCAACGACATTTCGGACATTTTCGGACAATTGCGACGACTCCTGTCTCTGAAAACCGATCACTGGAGAAACTCAAATGCTCAACTTTCGTACCTAGGCCGCACATTACACCGCGCAGACGTCAGAATGTCGACACTAACTGTGCCTAGAGATCACTTCGCCAAAGGCTTATCGCAACAGCTTCGACGGCGGGCACGGCCAGGCTCGAGCAAATCTAGTCCTCGCCAGCATACGACAAGTCTCCCGTTCGATCACCGATCATTCCAGACATATTTGCCACACCGCGGAAGTCACACGACCAGCCATCGCAGGTCAGGGCAGGGCAAGTCAGGGCTGTGTTGCTTGCTCTGATCCGTTAGGCTCTTCTATTGGTGTTGTTGACTCGTGGATGCGCTTCTGGATTGCGGGAACTGATGAGCTAACTGGATCAGATATTGCCTAGACAAGTTACCACAGCACCCCCTAAATTGGGAAAGCCAACCCAGGGGCGGTCTGGGCTGTGAATGCACTGGGTTAACGAGAACCCGAAGAACCTATTCTACAGCTTCTAGACAGCATTCATGCGAATTTAGATTGACAAGGAAGTGGGCGGGAAGATCTCATGAGTTTTATGAGTTGCTCTACAGCTTTGGCCGCTGGTCGTATCCTGCCAGTGATACCCATCTACATGATCACGTCCTACAAGTCATTACGTTCCCATCCGACGAGCACGCCTCCGGCAGCCGGGCATCGCCAACGATACCAAGCTGAGGCAGTTTATACGGGTAGCTCGGAATCAAAACTGAAGCGACTTCACAGCTTGCTCCCGAGCAGCGCTGACGTGGATGAATGGGGCGGGGTCACTGCACATCTCGTGAGCCCAAATGACTTTTCCCGCTTGAGGATTATTGTCACTGTATGCCATATATATCGAACTTGCCAATGGATTGTTCGAACCAGTGACTTGCCTTTTACAGCGATGCGGTGTTGAATCACTTTGAGAGGCTCTCAAATGGGTATTTGCTGCGCTCTTCCTCAGAATCACATGGCACAGGAAACGGAATGTTGAGATGTCATTTCATCTGAAGTCGCCTCTTTTCATGAGAAGAGCGATCACTGCGGCTGGTCTAGCGATCGTCGTGGGAAATACTCTGACCGCGCAGCTTTCATCAGGTCCTTGCTCGCGTGACAGACCAGCCAGGCCCCCGGAATCTCCCCATAAGGTCGCTCAATGGACGAGCACTGTTTTACTCTAAAAATTTCGACACTTTTGCCCAGTTTTACTCTATTTTTGGAGGAACCTCCCTCTCCCCCCAAATCTTTTGCCTATGCTCTCCTACGCTACTAAAAACGGCCCAGAGTACCCCCAAGCGCTCTCCCGTACGCTCTGGGCTCTCTCCAACCTCTTTCACTGTCTCCAGATCCACCGCTAGCCGTGCCACCCCGCTTTTGAGGCGCGATGGTTGCTGACACGGCTGAGTCAGAAGTTGAGAAATCTCTCCGATCACTGATAGCTCACGTATTTGCGCCTATCTCTGCCTGTCTAGTGCTATCTCTCGTAGAAGAAATTACCCTAATCAGGTAAGGACCTAAAAATTCTTCGGTAAATTCCCCCAGAACCGTTCGATCCGGACCCGATTTACTCTATTTTTCGAGCCAGATCCAACATTTTCGGGCTCTTTTACTCTATTCTACTGAGGGACATATGGCCATTTTTGGCCGATGTTTTACTCTATCTTTGAGGGACCTTATGGGGAGATTCCGGGGGCCTGACCAGCCACATGAGTAGTTATCTTGTGCCGATGATCTTTGTTTCCCGAGCGTGTCCTGTCCATATGTGTCCAGCTGTCGTGGAGTACAGTTGCGATTTTTCAGCCCGAGGATCGGGCCGGGCCGATAATGATTAGATCAATAACCAAACTGACACAAGCTACGTGCTGGTTCCACTCGTACTCTCTCCTCCTCCCTTGGGTCCATCGACATCCTCTCTCGCCGCGATACCTCTCTCTCCCTCATTCATATCATCAATAGCACGTCTCACACGTCAATCTATGGCTGACGAAAACTACACGCCCAACACAGCATATGTTGCAGAGAAGCCCACCGTCGCCGTCCCTGCCTGCCGACCTCGCTCCCCTTTTTCTGCGAATGTGTCAAGAACCATGGATGATGGAGAAACGCTCTGTTTCAATCCGAGCATTTCCGAAGAGGAACTCACAGCTTACGCCTCTGCTCCTACTGTTCACACCCGAGCCCACAAGCTACAACTCGAAGACGACAACCAGTTATCTATCGCTGCCTCGCTCGACCTTCTTTTTCCGCATCTGCCTGAAATACCTGATTGCTGTGAAGTCCCTGCTGAATGTGGTCAAACGCTCGGCCCAAATGAGTCTGTGCTCCTCAATACACCGTCATCACAATACCACTCTCTTGAAGGTTGTCCTCCTCTCCAGCAAGACCACCGTCCCCCCTCTCTCTTCCGTCAATATTTGGTCTCTGAGCTGGAACTGACGCGCGTTCCGACTGGTATCTCGCCATCGCCCGGTCTGTCTCGGTCACTCGACTTTGACAGTTGCAGTCAAGATACCTCCTCTGTAGGCCCATGCGTCTCCCTCGCCCCGGGCTCACTAACATATGCAGCTCGACTTGGGGACAGGTCTTGGTCACGGACTCGCCTCGCCCTTCAATCCTCAAGTGTCGGCGTTCGGTCCGCAAGAGCATCACATCCTCCACTCGCATCCTCTGGAACTCGTCTCGCCGGTGATAGCACCCTCACCTCGGGAGCAATGCGATGAAATCAGCTACCCTCTCGGCCAACGCCGGAGTGATGCCCTTGCTGCTTGGCGACCCGCCCAGCCAGCGCCGCTTCCCCATCGGCTGACCTACGAATCGGGACTGAGCTATGCCGGGAGCCTTGAGCAGCCGTTTCCGTCCTCGGCGTCGATCTGGATCGTCGAACGCACGCCTGCGCAGAGTGTTGAGCCGTCGTTGGATCCGGACGTAGTCGTCTCGGCGTCGTGCCCGGTCCTTCGAGAACGCAAGTGGAGCATAGAAGAGCAGATCACGATTGAGGTTCTCCGGGCTATGGATAGACGGGATCGAGGGTTCCAAACTTCCGGGCTGTTATTGCCGTGTCTTTGCTCTTCTGATAGCTGTCCGACCATTTCGAGCCGTAGGAAGGGGATTCTCTACAGACTGATGGATAAGTTTCGCAGGAGCAGCAGCCTCTCAGATGGACGGGGAGTCGTCTAGATGCCTATGTAGGTCACAAATCCAGAATGATGTAGTGGTAGATGTACCAGGTCATTTATGACCAGTCTAGTGGTATCTAGTCTAAGTGCTCATGATACATATAGCCCTTGTACGCGCCCTCAAAGCTTCATAGCGAGGCCCTCTACAGGCGTAGCAGTTCCGGAACTACTGAATGCCGACGGCGAAGGCACGTCCCCGGTAGGATCGAGGAGATAGGCGGCAAGGAACTTGCGCCAGTTGCCCTTCGAAGGAACGAAGTGGCCTGGGCAAGGAAGGGTACCACACAATCAGAAGAGAAGAATACACACGTAATCCGCACAAACATACCTCCGTCATGTTCTTCCACCCGGGGAGACTCGTTGAGATCCACGAGCTTGCGCGATCGCTCTTCGACGACGATGATATCCGTCTTGCCGATGACGTGCAGAGTCGGTGTTTTGTATGTTGTGGCGAAGACGGAGTCGCCGATCGCCCCGTTGAGTCGGAAGCCGGATACCGCGACACAGAATTTGCTGTAGACGATCGGGATTCACTCTCTGAGGTGTAAAACGGAGGACGCACAATGGTGGATGCGGTGGCTGCCCATAGATGAGAAACGGCGGATACGATTCGGGCCGCTCGAGCTTTGCGGTGAGCCGGTAAGTGCTGTTATATCTTGGGAGACTCCGGGGCGTCTCACCATAGCACTGAGAAGTCCAGCCATCCCCGCACCCTGCGAGAACCCGAACACGCCGTCGAACCGCTGGGACTTCAGCAGGTCCCGGATCATGACGAGAGACTCGGCGAGCCCCTCCGCCTCGTTCTTCGATGCGTTCCACTTGAACCAGCCCCGCGCTTCCGCCCCCTCCTCGGAGCCGAGCGACGTGGTGGACGCTGCGCCCATGAGATCGGCGGGTTGGAGGATGATCGGGCCGTCGATGAAGACTGTGAGTGGGAGTGAGCGGCGCGGGCAGCCGTGTGGACGGACAGCGGTCACCAAAATCTACCGCCTTCCCGCATTGTTTCCTGAGAGCTCCGAGCTTCGATAGGTTTCAGGAGTCGGTAGACGTAGAGAGGAAAGTAGCGCAGCATACGCGTTTGCTGAATATGGAGGCGTTCTGGGAGTAGCTGTGCACATTTGAGCGTTTATTTTGGAATTATGAGCGTGAGATGCTGACCCATGTAGTACGAGAACTTTTACTGGCGTAGAAATGGTCGACATGGTACGGGATTGTGGTGAAGTCGGAAAGCAGAGATCGCTGATCCGTAGTGATTGATGACCGATCAATCTCTTCAGGCATGACCTCCAATTATTCCCAATAGCTCACACTAGCGCTGGGCTATAAAATATTTTGGCCTTGCTATAAATAATTTAAAACAATTAGCGTCGGCGAGAGCTAGAATTATGAAACTATCAGTCGCTATAAAAAATTTAAAACTAATTATTAGCAACTAGCCAGATACGCAAAAGGGAGCGCTTTTTGTGGATTGAGAGGGATCTACGCATACTCAAATGTGTGCCTAATCATCATCGACATCCCACTCTTCATCCGAAGCATCATCTTGGACAGCAGAAACCTTCTTGGATTGACCGGATGCTTGGGCCTTGAAAGCTCCCGGAGTGATGAGCGCTGCTAACGCGGGACTATCCAGACGGACAAAATCTGCTGATGCCCATCGTGTCGACGAACGCAAGATCACGGGAGTCGGAGTAGGCTTGACATGTGCTGGCTCTGTATCAAGCACTGCGTCGATGCGATCAGCCTCTGCAAGATCGAAAGGGTCATCTTGGTCGAAAAGCATCTTCTCGAGGGCCTCTTGATCAACCGTGGCCGGATGAACGTTCTCGTCATTCAAGAGATCCATGAGTTTGGGTGCTGAAAGGGTGACGGCAGACTCTGCTGAGAGATCAACTCCAGAGACATGCACATTTGCGGTTGCATGATGAGTGTAGTTCCCTTCGGTCAATCCATACTGGTACCACTGTGCCAGTTGAGCGGAATGAACAAGATTCTTGGCTGACATCGAGCTTCGGCGGGAAGCATTGATCCATCCGAGCAAAGATGCTGTTCTTTCATCACATATCTCCGAGGGCGTGATAGAGAAAAGAACGATTGCGATTGTCTGCAATGTAATTAGGTCATTTGATGAACTGGATGCTCGATTCTGCATACCGCTAGAACGTCGCAATTGGAGTCCTTCAAAAATGGCTTCCAGAACGCCAACGGCTTGTCTTCTTTGGTGATATAGACTCGCCGGTCAAACAGCACATGTCCGGCAGCCCAACGGATGAGTTGCTGATCAAGACGCTCTGCATTAGTCCTCGAGGATCTACCGCACCGCTTTTGCTCAGCATGCAAGACTGCACGAGCCGAGCACCTGACGATCTGGAATAGCTCCGGCCAATCATCCTTTGAGAAGTCTTGACCTTCCCGCAACGGAGGGAGCACCAGTTTAAGGCCGCCGTGCACAAAGTATACTGTCAAAGATCGAGTCAATGACTAGAGATACGCAGAGAAAGTTGCTTACAAGGATGGAGGAAGTACGCAAGTAGGAAGATATTGTGAGAAGATTCAGTCATCATCTGCTCGAAGCGTGTGTTGTAGATCTTGATAATCTGGTCCCGGTACTTGAAGAATCCCTTTGACTGGGCGCCGACAAGCTTCTCTAGGTGCCAGGAGATTGTGACCCAGACGTAGAACACGTCAGCACATGTGACATTCTGTCCTTCGAGTGCTTTGATCCCATTTGCACCTGCCTCCAAGAGCTGTATGAGTGCGGAGAGCTTAGATTGGAACCCGTGGTACTCGAGACTGTCCGCGTCAAAGTAGGGTGCAAAGCATCGAGTCTAGATAGAGATTAGAGAAGATATGGGGTGTCGAGGAATAGAGCGTACCACAGTAGTCGTGAACTCGATAGTGCCGGCTGCAACACAAGCAACAATTGCGGGGAAGCACAGACGGAGTGCAGACGCCTGGATGAATGATGTGCCGAATCGGGTCTCTGACGCAGATTTCATTCCAGTCGCAATCCCGAGCTTCTTGCGTTGCTCTGCGAGATGCTTAGTTGCAACATTCGAATGTGCAAAGTAGTTGCTGATGCCGGATATAATCCCCAACTCCTAGGTCAAGTAAGCATCCATACCATTCTAAATCAAGCCAGGCTTACTGCTTTGAAGAGCTTTCCTATGTCTTTCAAGAACAGGTTTAAGAGATGAGACGGATCATAGAAATTAAGGATCCACGAGTATCTCTTTGCAATCTCCCGACGCATACTACGCACATTACTTCCCCCGTCACCCACAATAGCGCTGTAAGCCGTAGCACCGTATATCCCAAAGATCTGATCCACTGCGACCTTGACCAACACATTGGATGTGACAGAAATCGCCTCAAAGACCTCTCCCAATGTGTTGAGCACTGGGGAGAGCGTCTAGCAGCTCACCTGTGTGAGTGAGAGCTTAGTGTGGGCACTATGCGGGAGTAGTCAAGAGACTTGTATTAAAGGGTAATAGAGCCCTCCTTATATATGATACAGGGGGCCGTTTGTGTCTATTTGGGACGAGTCGATATGACTCTAGATGACACGTGATGGAGTCATAGATATGTATCACGACATCCATCTTGACAGATGATATTTGATCAACACTCCCCCACGCTGAAAACCACGGGATAGTGTTTGAAAGCGAATCTTCATCGGCCATTCCTTCAGGACGAGTTGAACTCAAGTCCTAGTTGAGATCTGAACTTCTCGAACTTGACGCGTCCTAGGTTCTTGGTGAACATATCTGCAGGATTCTCACTGCCCGGAATAAAGAACAGTTCAACCTCTTCTTCCTCGACTCGCTCACGAATGTAGTGATAGCGGATGTCTATGTGTTTCATCCTGCGGTCTCGGTAGGCATTGCTGCCACTGAAGAGTGCACCCTGATTGTCACCGCAAATGGGTACTGGGATGGTGAGTTTGAACTGGAGTTCCGAAAGGACACTCTTCAGCCACATCACCTGGCGACTACAATCTGAAATCGCCATGTATTCTGCTTTGGTCGAAGACTGCGCGACAGTGCGCTGAAGCCTAGACTGCCAGCAAATAATCCCGTCTGCCAATTTCGTGAAGAAACCAGTGGTAGACCTCCTCTTGATCGGATCAGCAGCCCAGTCTGAATTGCTAAATGCAATTAGCCCTCTATCCGTCGCACCATTGAAAATGAGCGAATAATTCCTAGTACCAGCCAAATAGCGGCAGATATACAGCGCTTTATGGAGGTGGTCTTGGGACGGATTGGCGGCAAATTGTGACAATTTGGTCACAGCAAATGCAATATCAGGACGTGTGCCTAGCATGATGAAGAGAAGAGATCCAATGACTGATTGGAATTTCTTCCTGAGCTCTGGATCGACTTCATCCTCATTTGGCATTGGAACATATCCAGCCGGTAGAGGGGTTGCTGCGAACTTGGCGTTCTGCATCCCAAAGCGCTCTAGCACCTTGTTGAGATAAGGAATCTGATCAATCTTGATCGAAGATCCTACTCTACTGAGGCGCACGCGCAAGAACTCTGGAGTATCTTCAGAATTGCGGCATTCCCATCGCTTGTTGAACTCAGCCTTGAGAAAGGCGAGGAGCTTCTTGTTCTTGGAGAAGAACAGAGCATCATCCACATAGACTATTATGACGGCTATGCTGCCATCAGAGTCCTTGTAGAAGAACACGCCGGCATCCGATGTTAGTCGGATCCAGCCCATGGCTTTCGTGGACTTGGTCAGCGCTTTCCACCATGCTAAAGCAGCTTGTTTGAGTCCATAGATTGCCTTGTGCAAGCGCATGACTTTGCGCTCTTGGCCTCTCGCCACAAAGCCTTCGGGTTGTTCCATGTAGACTTCTTCGTCAAGTTCTCCGTAGAGAAAAGCCTTACTGACGTCGAGTCCAGACCAATGCCAATCATTGAGCGCTGCAAGCGCCATGACCAACCGGAACGTCTCATACCTGACAACAGGAGAGAATATCTCGTCATAGTCAACTCCTTCGACTTGACTGAAACCCTTGGCAACTAGGCGGGCACGTTTTCGGCCATCAGATTTTTGGTCAAAGACCCAGCGACATCTGATAACCTTCCGTCCTTTCGGGCGGTCCACAAGGGAATAGACCTTGCACTGACGAAGTGCCTCTAACTCGTCGTGGCAAGCATCAATCCAACCTTTCTGTTGTTCAGAAGGCAACCGCTTGATATCGCGGAACGTCCAATCGCGAATTTTGGACGTATCAGGTAGGTTCTCATTTGGAACCGCTTTTGACAGCAGCGCCGTGATGAGCTCTACTCCCCCTTCCCGGCATAGCTTATCCATGCGTGCATCCTCGTCTAGATCATCAGAAGCATCCGCATTTGAGGAATCTGGTTGCGAGCTAGGGCCGGGAACCCCTGCATCAGCACCGGTTGATGGTTGAGATTGGGAGCTACCCTTATCTTCACCAACATACCGCTTCCATCCTCTGCTGTTCTGAATGTCACGGACTATATCCGTAGGGGTACGCTTTTCCCCATAGACGTTTCCTGGACGTGTAGGCACATTCCGCTGGCGTGAAGACCTTCGAGGCTCAGGAGCTGGTGAAGCTTCCCGACTTGGTCGTGGAATTCTACTTCTACGAGTCCTCTGAGGTTCATCCCGACGCTCTGGCGGTGGGTCCTGACGATTATGACCGTTGTCACCATCATCATTTCCCTGTACGGGAGGTGGTGGAGCCGGATCAGATGGCATGGGAAATGGAAAAGGATTATCTCCATATAGCCAATCTTCTCCGTCTACCTGTGGTGGATCTTGTGGATTCACTGGGTCATCACGTTCTGGAAATTCCTCTCCAACAGGAACGTGGGGTGGTCGATTGCTGTCAGGACAGCGGGGGAACAACTCCTCGTCGAACAATGCCTTGGTGGCGACGAACGTGGAATTGTTTGTGCGCATGAACAAAAATCCTTTCACACCATCAGGAATGCCCAAGTAGGTCATCAGCTCCGATTTGGGCGATAACTTGTTGGCGCGCTTCTCATCAGGGATAAAGACATATGCAGCGCAACCAAAGACTCGGAGTTCGGAAACATCCGGTTTTTCCTTGTGAAGAGCTTCAAATGGAGTTTTCCATTTTAGACGCCTGATAGGTGTCATATTGTAGATCCGTGTCGCATGTTTGATAGCGAATTCCCAATAAGAATTAGGAAGACAGGCAGTGAAGCGCATGGCTTCTGCCTTATCCATGATCGTACGATTGAAGCGCTCGGCATGCCCATTCTGCTGGTGAGCATATGGAGCACCCTTCTCCACTAGAATTCCTTGTTCCGCGAGAAATTCTTCCATTCCCATCCCCATGAATTCTCCCCCATTGTCAATATGCCACTTTTTGATGGTGATATTGAACTGGTTCTTGACCATCGCAATGAAATTGCGCATAGCCTGCTTGGCATCAGATTTCTGCGCAAGGCATACTGTCCAGCCATAGGAGAGTGCTTCGTCGAAGAAGCTCATGAAGTAGCGGTACTTGTGATAAGACACCGTGGGAAATTGTTTGAGATCCGAGTGGATCAAATCAAACGGATTCTCCGCTCGTTTTTCGGAAGGCGGGAAGGCACGTTGGTGCATTTTCCCTTGCGCGCATCCTTTACACGGTCGGGTTTCCTCGGGAAATACTAGGTCTTCTGGAAAGCCCTTGGTATTCTTCTTTGCCTGACGTAAAACGTCTTTCGACGGATGTGCAAATCGCCGGTGCATGATCTCATAATCCACCTTGTAAACAGTGGACATGGATCGCACTGTCTCAGCCGTACTAGGCTTTGACATCAGGAAGTACAATGCAATGTCCTTCCCTAGAGTTCTAAACTCCATGATCGAGAGTGGGGACTTCCCTCGATGTAAGCTGATCCGCGATTCGTCTCCACGAACGCGAGATCCTCCTTTGAGTAAGGAGCCCAAAGACATGAGACGACCATGTAATCCTGGCACTAGGTACACTGGATATATCTGAGAAGTCACCATTGTCTTTTCTCCATGCCTTGTGACGTAATGATCGATGAAGGCTGTTCCTCGACCAATAAGGGCAACACGTGTGTTCTTATCAGCGGTCTGAGCAACAATAGGATCTGAGAGCTTCTCATATCCGACCAGATCACTAATCTCCGATGTCACATGGAGAGATGCACCTGAATCAAGAAGCCATAGAGGCCCTAATTCATGATGATGATGTTTCCCCTTACACTTAGAGCAGGCAGCAAAATCGGAGTGCACACAGAATAGATTGGTACAAAAATCATGCGAACGAATCATCAACGAATTAAGTACAGAACCCGGGGCGGCGGTGATTACGCGCTCTGGCTGTGAGCAACAATCAGAATTGTGCATGTGCCCAAGAAGGCAGGGTACTTGCCTTTCGGCGGAAGGAGCGTCCATCTCCTCCAGAAGGGTGTTGAAGTCGACGACTTCATCCCAATTGACCGGTTCAGCCTGGGCGAACTCGCTATCTCCAAACAGAAGATCAAGATCGTTCTGTTGGCCAGTGGCCATCTCGACGTCGGGGATCTCCTCGATACGACTGCGTTTGGCAGGAGGACCATCATCCAGTGTGTGATTCGAGCCGGAAGCAACCGGAGATGGAGAACGCATAATTGCGTCCTCGCGGAGCATTCCTTTCTCATTGACGATCTTGTCGAGAGTCCGGAAGCGTTCTGCGGTCATCGTCACATCCATCTTCTTTGCCAGCTCGAAGACCTTACGAGTAGGCTTCTGGAACTCGGTGTCAATAATCCCATTGTTGTTAACGGGAGACTTCTCTTGAACCGCGCGGATTTTGGGTCCATCGCGAGAGATGTGCGTGACATGCGAGATCGTCGGCGCAGGGATAGACGGAGTGAGCGAGGCGATCGAACCGATAGTGAGGGAGCCAGTGATCTCGGAGACTCCATGGACATGACTGTGATCAGCCTTGCCCTTGCCCTTGTTGTCCTTGTTCTTCCCACTGCGCTTGCCTCGACGGTTCTTCTTCTTTCCATCAGCCTTATCACCCTTATCGGGTGCAGAGCCAGAGCCCTGTTGCTGATTGGTGAACGAAGGGTCATCGCGCTTGCGCTTGGTATTGAACTTGGCCACATGATTCTGGCTTTGAGACTGCTTCTGAGCGAAATGCGTCAAGAGAGCGTCACGAACCGCCGAGACTTTGATCTCGTCCTTTTCATAGGTCTGGAGAACAGTCTCTGTGACGGAGGGAATCCGGGCTATGTTGAGAATGATCATCGCTCTGAGGAACTCAGGGATGCTCAAAGACTCATTCTCCAGGCGAGCAAACGCCGTAGTGATCACCAGCAGCTGTGGATCCGGGTGCAGCCCCACGTTGTACTTGGCGTTCAACGCGGTTTGGAAGTACGCGTACAGGTCGGCGCACTGAGCACCACCATATTGGGTCTTCAGGTGCTCCCAGATCTTGGCAGCTGACACTATGTTGGCGGTTGGAATGTTGGCAATGACTCCCTCAGTCAGGCGCAACTTAATGCTGCCTTTGGCTCTGAGATCATCATGCTTCCATTGCTTGATCTCCGATGCGTTGGTCACAGAGCCATCCGTAGCCTTGACTTCGGTTGGCGCGGTCTCGGTCAGCACGTATGAGATCCCCTGATGCTCCAGATAGGACTCCATAGTTCCGGACCATACGAGCCAGTGCTTTCCATCAAAGATGGAGACAGCATTGAAGATGTTGTTGGAGTTGGACGACATGTTGATCTGTGTGAGTGATCAGCATCAATCTAATCTGATAGATAAAATCAAAGATAAAGATGATCAGATCCTCATAGATCATAATCTCCTTCAGAGATCGATGCATCTGGATCAAGCGATGTAATCGCGATCCGGCATGGTTTCACCAGCGCTATGCAGCAGCTGAAGTGATGACAGATAGGCTAAAGACGCTGCTCATCGTTGCAGCCAGTGACGGCGCATACAATGAATGTCGCGGCCATTGAGGCGCAGACATAGCTCTCGGGGCCCATAACCTGTTGAGCACTGGGGAGAGCGTCTAGCAGCTCACCTGTGTGAGTGAGAGCTTAGTGTGGGCACTATGCGGGAGTAGTCAAGAGACTTGTATTAAAGGGTAATAGAGCCCTCCTTATATATAATACAGGGGGCCGTTTGTGTCTATTTGGGACGAGTCGATATGACTCTAGATGACACGTGATGGAGTCATAGATATGTATCACGACATCCATCTTGACAGATGATATTTGATCAACACAATGTAAAGATGGATCGACGGCTCGGAAGGGTGGTGTGAAAGGTGTAGATCTCATCGTTGCCCCGACTGCTCCAGCCATCAAGTGACAACGTCATGTAGCAACGGCCGACCAGAAATGCAGCCAGAGCTGTCTTGAACGCAGTCATCTGGTTTGTGAGTTGTGCGGTGAAGAATGCTGTGCGCTCCGGGGTCACGTAGTTTGGGACAGCAATGAGGAGTAAGTTGACCAGCCATGGATTCTCGACAAACGCAAAGGGAAGTGCGGCACAGATGACAAGTTGGAAGAGCGCGAGATCGATGGCTGCTTGACGAGTTTCAGTCATCTTGATCGGCGTGAAGTATTCACGAAGCGTCCCCTTCTTCAAAGGTACATCTTCCTCTTCATCCACAACTGAGCCTTCCGCTGTATCCAGGATCTTTACGGACTCCGCATCTGTCACGTCGTCGACAGCCATGAGCTCCGATGCACTAGAGGGAGGGACAGATGTGCCGGCGCCGGGTGCTGGGATTGGCGACACAGCAGCAATCTTCTGTTTCGTCCGGACCTTCGGTAGCGGTCCTTTGCCGTTTGCCTTTTCGTTATGCTCCTCCTGGACTTGTTGATAGAGTGTAGGGAAGTACTTCGATAACTCCTGCATACAAAGTCAGCCTGTGTGTACCCACCTCATGATCACTTACTGTGCATTCCAGCGCAGCGTGTTTCCGAATGCGCATGTTGTTCCGCCACTTCTCATGGTCTCCGCATGCGATGCAGTACGTTTCAGCCCGATCTTTGCCCGTCTTTGACGTTCCCATCTCGGTGATGACCAACAAGTCTGCGAGCTCGTTGCGTGGGCGCCCGGGTCGTTTCTTGGGTGTGCGCGCTGGTCCTACACTTCCCTCCAGTGCGGCTCCCTCAATCTCCAAGATACGTTGCGCACGGATTGCCTGGTGCGCTGCCGACATCTTGCTGTGAGTGTCTGAGAGTACGTTCGCAAGATTCTGTTTCGGAGCCTTTGTCTTCTTCGTTTGCCGGGCCTTGGGCGCAACGCCAGGAGCCTGTGACGATGTTTACACCGCGGAAACCGATCAAATCGCAGCAATAACGTACCGGAGGAGGTGTATTCCCCTGCTCTGTTGCCAACATAATCTCATCTACGTGAGAGACCCACGCAGCACGCTCTGCGCTGCCCAATGCAGTGTGAAGGTCGATGGCATTATTGAAGTGAACGACACTATAATTGTCGTGCTCGATGAACGTTGTACGGGCAGTGATCAGACTTCCGAGATCTTCCTTTGATAGAGGCACGCTGCGAAGCGTTGTCGGCGTGTCAGGCGGCGCCAACATCCTGGGACAAGACTGACAAAAAACTCTTGTTTGCACACCCACGTGTACATACACTGATCGCCAATTTCTCCGTTTACTTGTGGAATCTTTTGTATGTATGTAACGCATCTGGCAATTTAAAGCAATTTTTTAATTTATAGCAAGGCCTTTGTACCCAAGCCTGGCTATTAATGTTTAAAGCGAATTTTGAAATTGGCTTTTTATTATTTGTTTTAAACTACATAATTTCTAGCCCACCGCTAGCTCACACCCGGGCCGGATAGAGTTTCCAGGAAATGACTCTGAGTGCCAATGCCCTGCCGGACAAGCGATGGGGAAACAGGCTGGAAGGCTACTGCATCATGGTGGATCAAAGTGTGTAGACTCTCGGGCTATCGAAGAACATCCAGCAGGGGAAGTTCGTTCGTAATTCAGCCGCATTTTCGTTTTTCATGACTCTCCGCTTCGATTCCTAGTTCGAGCTCTCGAATTGACTCATCCTCTGCATCAAGTCCGATTGTGGCCGGTCGATACAAGATCACGGCCTGTCCTGTTTCCTCCACGTTATTTTTGACATTGTCTTTTTGTATATTCCCCTCGTTCTCCTCCTGTGAGCTCCGGCCTGATCAAGGATGTGCAGTGCTCATCTTCGCTCCAAGCGACTGGATCGGACGCGCGAAGAGACATTCTCGGATCAGCTGCCGAGAGAAGTGATTTAGGGCAAGTGATGGTATCTTCGCCTTCCACTGAGTGCGAACAGATATGAGGATGGTCGAATACGAAGTACCATTTTGCCCCGGAAGCCGCACAGAACATCGTCGCGTCGTCACTCTGTGATGTTAGCAAGGATCGTAATTGACCGAACCAGCCCGATCCGGGTCAGCCCGAGTCGGAGCCACATTCTAGCAAGTATAATGCAGGTCGGAGAAGGCCGGGATGCACTCCACCCTCTTTTGCTTTTCCCGCTCCCATGAATCTGCAGCTCCGATCGAGACCGCTGTCTGGGCTCGCTTTTCCCCGCGTCAGATCGACGCGCTCATCGAGCCACCGCCAATTCGGATCCTCCTCCGTCCTCCAAAAACAGCGACTTTTGATCGTGGGTTCTGGTCAGTGCGTATCGGTGCAGTGCTCGTGGATTGTGTACTCAAGTGCCTCGTGGCGATGGACAGGATGGGGTGGATATGGTGTGCTGCGAGGGGTGGACAAGAAACGCTGGGGTACGTGTCACACTGTGCAACTAGGACGATGGTCCTGCTGACGGCTCGTTCCGTATGCAGACGTCACCGTCGTGTCCCCGAACCTCTACTTCAACTTCACCCCACTGCTCGCGGGCTGTGCGGTCGGGACGCTCGAATTCCGGTGCGCTATTGAGCCTGTAAGCCGTTCCTTCCCCGTTCGCAGTAGCGCAAACCTCACACAAACGCCCGGTCAAGGTCCGAAAATACACCCCGCAAGTGGTATGAGCGATCTGAGTATCTCCGTCCGTGTAAATCTCACTGCATGCGTTGTAGGTCGCCTACCAAGGGCGGTGCGACAGAATAGGTAATGCTCTTGCCTTTTTGGGAGGCTCCGCTGTTCCCCGAGTTTTAACCGAGCGGCCCAGATTTTGAGAAACGGATAGTGGAATGCGTACGCAAGATGAAACTGCCCTGTTTGTGCGCGACTGAATTCTAGATCATGCAGACCCCTGCGACCCCCGCGCCGGCGTTGAGTCAGGGTCCTCCGGTCCCGTTTACCCTGCGTTGGGACAAGATTGTGTTGGCGGCAGGAGCGTATTCTCAAAGTGAGTCTTCCCTGGAAATTGGGGGACCATCGAGTTAATTGATTGTCAGCTTTCGGAGTCCCGGGAGTCAAAGAGCACGCCCATTTCCTGAAAGACATTAGGGATGCTCGCGCTATCCGAATGCGTATTCTAGAATGTCAGTTGGGCTTGACGTGTTCTCGCTCATTCCTCGATTGATTTCCGACAGGTTTTGAGCAGGCTGCGCAGCCTACCATGTCCGATATCGATCGCAGGTGAGTTGGGCTTGCACTAATGTTGGACTCCGTCAACCGAAGACCGTAAGGCATCTGCTCAACTTCTGCATCGTCGGTACGCCACAGTATTTTGTAGCTTTCGCACTTTTCGACGTCCATTCTAGGCGGGGGACCTACCGGCGTGGAGTTCGCTTCCGAGCTGCACGATCTTCTCCACGCTGAAATGGCGGCCCACTACCCGGTGTTGGTAAAATTGGCGAAGATCACTCTCTATGATGTTGCCCCGAGCATTCTGGGCAGTTTCGATCGGAATCTCGTCGAGTGCGTTTTGTTTCGTCAAAGCGATCCAGGGCATACGTCATTGACTCGGCTCGAGCTACGCGGAGGACCGATTCACCCGTGAGGGGATCAGCATTCTAACCTCGCATCATGTCGAGCGTGTAGAAGCGGGGAAGATGTTCGTGAAAGAACGAGGCGAAGGTGTGTGTGGCATGTTACAACACTTGCTCGCGTCGATTTGATTGCTTCTTTAGTTCCGTTCGGGCTCTTGGTCTGGAGCACGGGGCTAGCACCCAACCCATTGATTGAGTCCATAACAGAGTTCAAGAAGGACCCGAGAACTAAAAGGTGGGGGCGAATATTGTGTCCACTTGAAAGCCTCGCGCTGATCAACACCGCTAGTGTTTTGACGGACGAGAATTTGAATTTAATCCGACTGGATGGTACCCCAGACCCAAACGTCTGGGGTATCGGTGATTGTGCACAAATCGAGGGCGCGATTCTCCCGGCGACGGCGCAAGGTGCGTCTTTCGCATCCTCAACACTTGCTTCCGTGCGATTTTACCTATTCTTCCAGTTGCAAGCCAAAAGGCGAAATATGTGGTCAAAAAAGTCAACAAGCTCGCGAAAGAGAAAACCTCCCCCGAGCCGTTCAAATTCGAGAACCAGGGAAGCTTGGCGTACATCGGAGACTGGTATGCCCTGCGAGCATGGGTTACCAGCAGAATTTTGATCCTTTGTTTCACAGGCGTGCGATCTACGACAGCCCGAGTCAAGACAAAGACCACATCCTCTCTCGGGCCGAGACGGGAAGAGTGGCGTGGCTGCTGTGGCGATCAGCATATTTCACGATGACGCTGTCTTGGCGGTAAGTCTTTCCAGCATCGTGTTCCGCTTCGCGTGACGACGTGACATAGGAACAAAATTCTGGTTCCGATGTACTGGTATGTGTTGTTTTTATTCTATGGTAGACGTGGGGGCTTACTTGCATCGCAGGTTCATGAACTGTGAGTCCCTGACGCTCGCCACAGCGTTTTCATTCATTCATGATATTTGCAGGGATCTTTGGTCGTGACATCACGCGATTCTGAGAATCGGCTAGGATTAGATAGAAGGACACCATGGCCACTAGATATTTAGAGTACGACAATAGAACGTCAACATCCTCATCCATCCACAATAAAAACCGATCTCATATAATTCGTGGCGATGGCTTCCTCCGTATTTTGTGTGGTTTTCCTTGGACTGTCTCTCGTCATCAGCTGCCCTGGCTGGTGGTCGAGGCTACGCACGAGAAGTTGTGGACAACGAAAGTTCATCAAGAAATCCTTTTGCGATTTGTTGCGAATCGGAGCCATATTGTCGCATCGGCGCGTCTCCGTTGGCGGCGAGATCAGCGATGACCATCGTCCAATTATCCGCGCTGTCCTCGAAGTCGAATGCGTCCAACGAGTGCGAGCGTCGCGCGACTTTGCCCACGTGAGCCACGTGGACGAACGAGTTGGCCACGGGGCCAGATATGATCGCGGGGGAGTGCCAGGCGAAAGGTAGCCGGCGGCGACGACGGCGCGAGCGGAGCTGGGCTTTCTCGGCCCCGCTTCTATCTGGAGCACAACCGGGCCTCAGCGGAGTCGGACCTCAGCACGATGGGTGTCTCACCGGGTGCCATCGCCCGATCTAACACCTGCTTCCCGAATTCGGCGGCTTCTTTGTCGTCTCCCGTGAACAGAAAGCCGAACTTTCGGCTCTGGGTGGGGGCACAGTCAGCGTCAGCGGGGGATAAGGTTACCCAGGGATGTACGTACAGAGCCGCGAAAAACGTGGAAGAACGGTCTATCCACCCGGTAGTCAAGCCCCGCGCCCGCATCGGGGATGCTGAAGTGCCAGATCGGTTTGCCGCTCGCTGCGTCGAGCAGGCGGAAGCAGTGGTGCGGGGTGTTTTCGGGGCCGGGACAGAGGGAGAGCAGACCGGACAGGCCCGAGTACGTCCATTGTTCTGCGCCCGGTGTTTGCTTTGTGGCGAATGAGGCGTGGTAAACACGCGCAGGGAGGCTCGCGAGCGCCTCGCTCGAGGCCGCACTGCTGCTGGCACTGCTGTCGTCGCAGCTCCCGGCACTTTCCGGCGCAGGTAGGATGTCCAGCGGTACAGTGGTATTGGGAGTGCTCATCGCCAGCAGCTGCGATATCATGTTGAAAAGGGAAGCGAAGGAAAGAAGCGGGGCCGTGTAGCTCGCAGCACTGCCGCTACTTATTGACCGCTAATGGCCGCTCCCCAAGCTTAAACACGCGTCATCCATCGTGTTCTCCGCATGTCCAATTTCTTGAATTTATTTTCCTCAAAAATCAATCAAAATACAGCTCTATCGATGCAAGATCTTTCGACCCGTTTCAATAGCATGCGGTGCTTGTCGGCGGTCGCGATGTGATGACGTCACGTGAGCGTGTCTGGGTGCGTCACATTGGTCTCAGTCACAGTGCCGCTCGCTTCCACAACCATGGCCGCTCGCACCAAAGCTGCCCGCAAGCCAACAAGAAAGTCTGCACCCAGGACAAAGAGAACGAAGGAATCGGACTCCGACCACTCGGAATTAGGCGAGGAATCCGAGTCGGAATACGACAGTGACGCGCTCGACGAGGAGCCGGTCGAAACCAAGAAGCGCAAGCGGAAACCCGCCGCCGCGGCCGGCGCAGACGGATCTCCATCCAAATCCAAGGCCAAACGCTCCCCAAGGAAGAGAAAGCGAGTTCAGGCGGACGACGATGAGTCGGAGTTTGAGAATGACGACGGGCTCGAGGTCGTCGGGAAGGTTGTCCAGGCGCCCAAGACGGGACTAGGTATGCAGCCGCCTCCGTTGTCCGCTCGGAGGGGATTCCATCTGACTCAACCTCCGATCAAGTTCCTGCTGGCCAGATATCGCAAAACACCCTGGATTTCCTTACGCAACTGAAGAATCCAGAGTGTAACGATCGCGAATGGTAGGCAGGCTGCAGGTGGGACGCCCGAGCCAAGTCATATGCTCACTCCGCTTTCCCAGGTTCAAATTGCACGGTTAGCTCTCAACGGCCGTAGATCTCAGCGGTGTGACCGGGTGTTTCTAGATCCCGTCTATCGGCAGGCGGAGAAGGAGTGGAAAGACTTTGTCGAAGCTTTTACTGATCGGCTAGTTGAAGTGGACGATCAGATACCGCCGCTTCCACCGAAGGATGTGATTCATCGCATCTACCGAGATGCACGTCTCTATGTCTTCTTCATTCGTTCGTCGTTTTGACTTCCCTCAGACACGCTTCAGCAACGACAAAACGCCATACAAGCAAAACTTTTCCGCGAGCTTCTCGCGAAGCGGCCGGAAGGGAATCTTTGCGTTCTGTGAGCGTCGTCAGGATTCATGTTTACTGTCTCACTGACTTATCTACAGATCATGTGTGAGTTGTTTCAGCGCGCAGCATGTCTCGGTGTTCCAACGCGCCTCACACAGCATGAGTAAGCGGCGCTCGTATCTGGCAGCTTGGGGCTCAAATGTTGTTCGCAGTCAAACCGGGAGACCAGAGCATGATCGCAGGGGGCGCCTGGTGTCCCGCCAAAGCTGAGCTTGACATGATGCGGTATCTCGCTCCAGTTTCCATGGACTTGACGCAGATCTGAGGTTTCTCATAGAACGAACATCAAACGCGACTCTAGTCGGCTGCGCGACATCATCGAAGACGCCACCTTTGTTAAGTACTTCGGAGAGCCCAAACCGGGGGCCAGGAGGAATATCTTTGGGCGCGAAGATGAGTTGAAGGTGGCGCCCAAAGGCGTTCCGAAGGACCATTCGTGAGCGTGACTCTTCGTCTCGGCCAGTGACCGCTGCTGAGCTAACGCAAGGGACATCGACCTGCTGAAATGCCGTTCATTCGCGGTCTCGCACCAGTGCGTGGCTGACCAAATGTCCCCATCGACGGCTTACGGCTTTCGGTAGATTCACGGACCAGCAAGTAACAGCTGCTGACTTCAAAGAAACCCTGTCTGGGGTGGCCGAGGTGCTGCTCTCCTTTGTGCATTGGTCAGTGAACAATTTGGGCGTCTCGTTCGTGTCTGAAGCGGAACAGTTTGAACGACATGATGACCGTGAATGAAGCGGAGGAGGCATCGAGCGAATGAGAAGAGATTTCGTACGGGTGGCTGTCTCTTTTTTGCTTAGGCTATGTAATGAGAAACAGGGACAGGAAATTACAGAGGACGAGCGGAGGCTCCATCTATTTCGGGCCTCCCAACTCCTTTGGTGGTACTTCTCTTTCAGTATTTGGGGTTTTCTCTCTCGTTTCGAGTGCAAGTGGTGTGATGTGTGTATTGTGGGACAGTCTGGGCTCCTGTGTCTGCGCGTTGTTCCTTGGGGGACTCATTTTGTGTGGTTATAATGTAATATATGTATAATATATTGGGTGATTTCCCCCTGCTCATCGAGTCTAAAGTGCTATGGCTTTCTCTCTCCCCTCTTTTAGAGGGTGCCTTTGATTCAGCCAGCGCTCTCGCTGAGTGCCCCGCTGCTGGCGGCAGCGCGGGGGCTTCAGCTTTGTTACTTTTCACTTTTTTCAAAGGGAGATGGTGATGGTACTTAGTCAATGCAAGAGATACAATTCGCGTTTGATAGCACGTGATATTCACATGACTTCGGACCCGGTAACGGTCCCGAAGTCTGATTGATTCTTGGATTTTGGGCCAACACACAGACCTGCCTTTTTGGGAAGCCTGCCGCATGACGGCCGAAACAAGGCAAGGGCGGCAAATCATGCATCTCTTCAAGGTCGCGTGACCTTGTTTATTCCCGGCCTCGAGATTTGTAAGTAATGAAAACAGTTGTAAACAATCTATCCCGCCTCCTCCCCTGCCTTCATTAGTGCGTCCCAATTTATTGTCGGCTTTCATACTTGTCTTCAGCCCCGCCATCGATCCCCGAGCCGCTTGCGACGCTGCCTCAAGACAGAGGCCAACAGGCTTTGCCACCCAGCCGCTGAGTCAAGCCGGGCAGAGAGCTTTGCAGGTGGGATCATGTTTCCTCCCTTGCCTGAACCTCTTGAAAGTAACAGTTGTAATGTATAGTAACCAATACTCCTTAGTTATAGCTGTCGTACTTTACAATGTCTGCATTGCTGTAGAATATCAAAGAATATTACTTATCAATTACTTAGCATTACTAGGCTTACTTAGCGAGTACTCTCCCCTCGTTTGCTCCACTATAATCTACATAATCTTTGTGTGCAGTATGCATATGAGTAGTCTACACAGATATTACGAGTTCACATTCACTCATCTGCATGCATTGATACAACTCATTTTTTTTGGCTTTCCAATTTCAATTTGTTTATACAAGCTTCTCGTGGACTTGTATCGATTTGCATGGCACTCACGTGAGCTGCGGCAAAGTCTCCGAGTCATCAGGAATCAGCGATTAATCATCCTCGGCAAAATGCCGAAGCGTCCCAAAAAGGCAGGTCTGTGTGTCGGCCCAACGTCCTTGATTCTTCCTCAGTTCAGGATGACTTTGTATTATTTGCATAAATACCTGGGTAGTAGTAGTAGTTAGTTAGCTTTCATTGAATCGAGTACCTACCTACGCGACTTCTGCTACCCCAAGACTCGGCTTTGAAGACTCCAGCATAACGCCTTGATTCTCCTCGCTCAACCAGCTTAAAGAAACCAGGCATCGTCACAGTAAGGAGTCACGAGGCCTCACCCTCCCACAATCTAAGCTTCACAGTTCCATGTCCGACGCATCCATACACCGCATTGTCATCATCGGTGGCGGTATCATCGGGTGCACGACCGCCTACTATCTGTCCCGGCACCCCAAGTACATCCCTTCGGAAGTCGCGATCACCGTCATCGAGGCGTCATCGCGCGGTGCGGCGCAGGGCGCGTCTGGAAAGGCGGGCGGTCTGGTCGCCAAGTGGGCCTATCCGAAGGAGCTCGTGTCCGTCTCGTTCGCGGAGCACGTCAGGCTCGCGGAGGAGCACGACGGCGCGGCGCGTTGGGGATGGCGGTACGTCGCGATGGGGAGGTGGGAGGGCAAGGGGGCCGATTCGGGGGTCCGGATGCCGCGCGCGCACGAGAAGAGTCTGGAGAAGACGCTCGGACTTGAGCCGGACCGCAGGGGGACGAGGAAGACGAAGGGGCTGCCGGACGACCTGCTGTGGGTTCGCGAGGATTTGACCGAGTCTTATTCATCGATGGCGCCCGACGGAGAGACGGCGCAGGTCCATCCGTACCTGTTTACGACCGGCATGCTTGATCTGGCGAAGGAAAAGGGCGTGGAGTTCACGTCCGGCTCGGTTACTTCGATACTGAAGGAGGGTGGCCAAGTGACCGGTGTGCGATACACCGACCCCTCTGGGACCGAGGAGACGCTTCCCGCGTCCGACGTGCTGCTCTGCGCGGGTGCATGGTCCTCGCGGATCCTTCCCGGGCTGCCGATCGAGGGCACGCGCGCGCACAGCGTCGTCATTCGCACGCCGGCCGCGTCGCCCATCGCACCGTACGTGCTGTTCACTGAGATCACAGGGACGGGGAACGGTGCCTTGAGCCCCGAGATCTATGCGCGGCCGGACGGGACGGTATATGCGTGTGGGCCGGGCGACGACAGCGCTGTCCCGGACAGCGTGGACGATGTCGGCGTGGACTCGCGTGCGTGCGATGCGCTGCTCGAGGATGTGTGCACCATATCCGAGGAGCTTGCGGCTGGGGACGTCGAGGTGCGGCAAGCGTGTTTCCTGCCCGCCTGCAGTGCTGGCGGCGGCCCGATCGTTGGTCAGGCGTCTCCCGGTTTGTTCATCGCGACGGGACACACTTGTTGGGTGCGTGATCTCTTGCATGAGCCTGGTAATAGTATTGTGTGCGACTCTGACCGGCTTGCAGGGAATCAGCAACGCGCCCGGAACTGCCAAAGCAATGTCCGAGTTAATATTCGATGGGAAAGCTCGTTGCACTGATCTGAAGAACCTCCATCCGTCCAATTTTCTGTAGCCCGGCATGTATTCATATGCAAGAGTGTCACAGCGAAGAGAGTACATGATGGTGGAGAATGGAATCTAAGCAGCGCCACTCAACCTCCCGGGCTCCCGATCTCTGTCAATCAACGAGACAATACCTCGATAGCGCACATTGCGCCGTGGTTCCATTCCTCCGCAGTCAACGAAAACGAGGGGACGGTTAAGATCCGGGGTGCACGAGCCTTGAGGAGATAGGCAATGAATGCGGTGCAGATGAGCTTCGCAGGATCAGGACCCTGGAGAGTCAGACGATTGAGGCCGGATAATAGACCTTGGGCGTGCGAGTAGTGGATTCTAGTCAGATTCTCCGTGAATCTATGGAAGAAGTATACTTTGAGGAAGCTGGATATGGACCGTCTCACAGGCGCAGACACGCGGGGGTTTCTTCGGCATCGATCGCCAACGTAAATCGATGTGCCACTGCATGGACAAACTCGAAAGTAGGGCGGCAGGGAGCACACGAGTGCGTGCACCGTGGTGAGCGCAGGTGAGCTAGCGTATCAAGCCTTCGAGACGCCGTCCTTCCAGGAAAGGCAATTCAGATTGATGCCGCGGAGCGGAATGGGGCACGTGGGAACGGGCGCCCCACAAACAAACTGCGTGAGGCGATCAAAAGTGGTGTATCCCTCTTTCTTGGGCCACAGCATCGCATTTAAGACCCTCCACATCCTCCCATCCCTTCTCTCCTTCTCGCCCCTGCAAAATGACTGAATACGACTACAGCGAGGAGGGCTACAATCGATTCATGGAGACCCAGGCGCGCATCTCGCGCTGGGCAGAAAAGACGAATCGCACCCCCCAATCCGATCCGTTCACGCCGCAGACTCCTGCGCTAGCCTCCGCAGTGGCACCGCTACCCATGCCGGGGATCGTACCCGGTCCCAAGAGGCGGGACAGCAGGAGAGACCGCGACCGGAGTGCATTGAAAGAAGACGTCACGCGACGCGATCGACGACGGCGGACGCCGCCACCTCCCCTCCTCATCCCCCAGGATCCATACATTGGCGGTGGCCCCGTCTCTACGCCTGTGCCAGGCCACCCCCACCAATACTACCCCTCATCCGTCCAGCCTTACTACGCGCAAAACCAATACTACAGTGCTCCACCCGAGCCGAGACGAACGCGCTCTTCGTCACAAAGCCTGCCCCCTCCTTCGCACACCCTAGCACGACCGCCGCCTCCGCCGCACTCGCGTCCGAGTCCGGTGCGATCACACTCCGTCGGGCAACCCCCGATGGCCGCAACACACGGACACCCCGTCCGCTCGAATTCGCTGCCTTACGCTGGCCCCCCACCCGCATCGGCACCGGTGGCGCCTTCGGGCGCGCCATTATATGCAGCACCGTCCCCTCGCCATGGCGCAGCTTACGGATACTCGCCGCACGCGCTACCGATGTACGGCTACGGCCACGGGCCGGGGTATCCAGGACCGTCCCCACTGAATGCGGCGCGGGGGCCGATGCGACCGCAGCCATCGCGGCAGGGCTCCATGCTGAAGCGCGTGTTTGGGTGGACTCATCGGACGAGCCCTGGGCCGATGAGGTCGGATTCATACTGATCGTGCTATGTATGCAGATGATGTAGGGTAGGTCGTTGTATTTTAGTCATCGGTATCGTGCATTACATCTCTAGTTGGAGTCATGGAGTGATTTGTCCGGGAGCACCAGTGTACTTGACTGATGGTGACTTTCGTCAGCTGCGAACAACACGTGCGCGGCTAGGTCGATTCCATGGTCCCCCGTCCACAGATATCCGAGACTGTGCTGGTCGAATCTGCGGCTATCCAATCGGGGTCAACGAAGAGGGTTCTTCTTCGATATATACCCTGTAGTTTCAAATGAAAGTGATATGCAACTCGAAACATTGCTCGGCCATGGCCCGAGGTCTCCCACGAATCCGCGGTATGGGACACAAGATCGTTGTGGCCACCGCATTGCGTGGCGGAAAGAACTTGGTACCGTTGTAAAAGAGAAGCGCTTCATGAAGATATAGTTTCGGGAGACCGAACGGTTGGTGTCACAACTGGCAGGAAGAAAGCAATGTCAGTGCATCGCCACTTGATCAGCTCTCTCCCTACCCACGCGCGCAATGGTCAAAGCAAAGAAAACGCGTCCGCGAAAGTCGGGCGTAGATCCTTCTCCCGGAGATTATAAGCTGGGAAACGACTGCGACGCGCCTACGCTGAACGAATGGGAGAGCATGAAGACCTACGACGCGTTCAACAGTCTGTGTCACTGTGGACCATCCCCATCTTCAGATCTCGCATTGACAACTCGGAAGCAGTTATTCCCGAGGACTCGCAGGAAATGTATACATTCCAAGCCGGCAGCAAGTTTGTCCCTTCCGTCCCATCCGTATTTCTGTTGCGCGCTGATGGTTGTGTCTTTGACAGAGTGCTTGTGCAACCATTCGGACACGAGGTCGGGATGCTGGACATCCACCAATACTGGATAGCGAGGGTCGTTGAGATTCGTGGGCGCTTACCTGCTCAAGGAGAGAGCAAGGCAGTAAGGCCTGAGTCTGATGTCTGGGTCATGGTCGAGTGGTTTTACTCTGCGGACGACCTACGAAAAGAAAACCCTCGCCTTCGTGGGTCGGTCCTATCCCCCTCTGTTCTGCGTTTTCTGCTGTCCCTGATCCCTGGACAGGAGATTAAAGTGTTGCGGCAAGTTTGAGCGCTTTCAGTCAGGCCATCGGGACTGTATATCCGTCTCTGTCTTTCAAGGCGCGTCATCTGACATCCTGATTCTCACGTCTCTCAATCTGTAGAACAGAAATCGTCACTATGAAATCTTTCGACGAGAACATCCCAGAACAAGAGCTGATTCACGCCGAGGAGCTCTATTACCGCTCGACATACCATCACACTAGCGGTGCAATATCGGTGCGTGCGAGAATACAGTATGATCCTGGTCTAACTCACCTCTGCAGCCAGCTCGACCAACGCTATGCTGCTGTGGCGAAGCGTACGATCCAGACGAAACATCCGCGGAACACATCATGCACTTTTGCTCCCGCTGTCGACGCTGGCTGCACCGAAAATGTCTCTCCTCCCCGCTTCCGTCACGGAGAGTCACTCCAGCTGAGTTCCTGCAGTTCGACCCCGACACAAACAGCCGGCCACTGTACCCCTTCTGGAGCGCCGTTGCAGACGACTCACCGTCGTCCGTGTCCTCCTCGTCGGAGCGACCGTCGAAGCGACCGCGGCTGAGCACATCGACGCCGGACTCGCTGGTCGCGCCGGATCTGCAGGTTCTGGATGACCACATCTCGGGCCTCCCCGCGGATCTCGTGAAGCTCGCAACGCGCTCTGTCATACGCGGGGGCCCCGCTGGGATCGTGGGCAACGGACCCGCTGTGATCGAGGCCCGGCGGAAAGTGTGCCAGTTTCTGTGCCAAGGGGACAGCACCAAGGCTGCGTGGCTGCAGGACTGGCGCGCTCGGATGCCGGCAGACTGGGATACCATGCTTCCCGGGGGATGGGACACCGTGGTTAAGCAGGAGCCTGATGTGGCGCTCAAGAAGAGGACCAGAGGACGGCCGCGGAAAACCGTCCCTGTTGTGGTTCCGGATCCACTCAATCCCCCGACCCTGGAATGCCCCGACTGCCACAATCTCATCTGACTTGCCTTGTTACATCTTCACACATCTGTATTTGTTTGTCAAAACTTCAAGTGTAATTCGTACCATTCTTGCCGCACGTTTTCATTCTTCTGTCTAATGTAGCTTCACGTGGTGTGACGGCACGCGTTTGTCACTCTCTCGCTCGAAGGCCGACTCTCATCTTGGTGCACATTGGATAGAATCTTACTGCGGGACAGGAAGCGGCACATCGCCCTCCGAGTCCAGATCCAGCCCGACCGTCAACCGCGACACCAGCGAGTACGCGCCCGCCGTAAGCGTGATCTCCATGATCTGCGACGTGTTGAAGTGCGTCTTGACGGCGTTGTAGACCGAATCGGGGATGTGCACGGTGTCGGCCATCCAGTCGGCGAACGCCATGCTGGCGAGCTGCGCGTCCGACAGTCCAGTGAGCCGCCCGTCGGCCCAGGAGAACGTCTTCTGCGGGGCGAACCGGAGAAAGAGCAGCTGGGCGGTCGTCATGTTTCCTGAGCTGCGCGCGACGGGCTCGTGCTGCAGCCACTGGTACGTGGCGGTATTCGCGACGGCGGTGCGGAGAATCTGGATTCGAGGAGGGATGTGTGAAGCTGTGACATCGTGCGCACCGACACACATACCAGAAGCTCGCGGACGTTTCCGGGGATGGTCAGGTTGCGGCGCACGGTCTCGATGAAGTCCGTCCAGGCGTTGGCGACGATCGCGTTGTTGAGGCTGTGAGATGAGCGTTGAGAATTCGGGAGCTGAGCAGGGAAAGTGCAGAGCTTACAGAGCACCATCGAGATCGAGGAGAATTCCTCCGGGACGAACACTTCGGATCTTGTCGGCGACCTGATGCAAAGGTCAGCTTGAGCATACATCCGAAGGAATGCACGCACCGCGTTGGTACCGGGCGCAGGGAAGATGTACGGGACCCGAGCAGGCAATTGGTTGTCTCGTTTCTCGACGGCCTCCGAACTGGCGAAAGCGGACAAGGCGCAGAACGCCAAGGTAAAGAACGCGAACTTCATGCTTTCGAGGGGAAAGAACACTTTTTAAGCCTCGAGATCCTCGCAGGGGCTTAAATATCATCCTCAGACGCCCGCGACATCCTACTTCCCAGCTCTCCATGGCTGCTGCGTGTGTAAGAGAGGACATTCCCTTCTATGATTCTGCTTCGCTGATGGCCTTGTCGGTCGAGGTAGGAGCAGGAGCTCCCACGGAACTTCCAAGCCATTCGGGACGAAGGGTGCTTGCGAGCAACCGGTTTCGGGCCGATGAGAGCCGCATATTCCTGAGAATTGGTGCGCTCCGCTCTCCATGGTGAAGCATGACGTCCATGTGATATCGCTGCGGAGTGTGCGAGCGCGGTGCACCCACGGGTAAAGCCATCACGGCCGGGGCAGAAAAGGAGAGCCGCGGACTACATAACAAGGCACCGGATTGGCCATGGCAGTGCGACTTCGAGAAGAGCCGTGAGACCACAGACGATCGCATCACATCGCTTGAGACCAAGACATGTCCCAGTCCTCTCTCTCCCTGTCCAAATTATACGTACGGTTGGATTTTCGCAAGCTGCCGTCTGCCAGGGGATATCGTGCAACCAGCAATGAGCGCATTTGCGCCCCTTATAAGCGACACATACTCAGCCAGTCGATGCAATGCGCAATCTCCGGGGCCTGCCCATTGGCATTCGCAGGAATCCAGCGGTGAGGGCTTTGTGGCTGTGAACCGTGGCATTATGCCAGTCAAGTAGACGCGTGCCGAGAAAAGCTTCCCGAAAGCGAGACTAGTGACGGAAGCCAGTCTGTCCGCCACTGTTGACTGGCATGCCACAGACCGACGAAGCACGTCTCGAGCGCGAGAGGGCCAGCGGGAACAAGCTCTGGGGTGTCTACATCTCCGAGGCGCAGAGCTACGATCAAGGTCTGGTCGATGGCTGGCGCAGTGAGATGGACGGCCTGCTGATTTTCGTGCGTCCCTGTGCGTTATCTACGCCAGTCCGACTCTGAATCTATCAGGCCGGTCTCTTCTCTGGCGTCGTCACGTCATTCATCATCGAAAGCTATAAAACGCTGAACCCCGACTCGGGCAGCCAGACCCTCGCGCTGCTCGCCCAAATCTCGCACCAGCTCGCGAGCCTGAATAACGGCACGGCAATGACAGACGCACTCCCTCCCGCCGCTGCCTTCTCGCCCCCGATCTCGTCCCTGGTGTGCAACGCACTCTGGTTCACCAGCCTGGCGCTCAGCTTGTCGTGCGCACTCGTCGCGACACTGGTCGATCAGTGGGCGCGGGAGTACCAGCACCGGACGTCCATGTTCTCCTCCCCCTCCATCCGGTCGCGCGTGTACATGTATCTGTACTATGGTTTGCGACGCTTCAATATGCATGCCGTTGTCGGCGTTCCCCCGCTTCTCCTGCACGGGGCACTAGTTCTGTTCTTCGCGGGTTTGGTGGCATTTCTCGTCCCTGTCAACATCATCATCATGGGAATCTCTTCCGCTCTCCTGCTCCTCTTCGTCTCCGTCTATGGAACGTTCACCGCGCTCCCCCTGTTTTTCTTTGACAGTCCGTACCAGACGCCACTGTCGCGAATCCTTTGGTCGCTAAATCAAAGCTTGGGAAACGGACTGCGGGCTTATGTTCGAAAGACAATGGCTAGGGACCCCGAGTCCCTCACCAATCCTTCTGTCTCTGTAGACAGTCGTATACAGGCCCAGAGCATGGTGGAGGCCATGACTTCAATGGCACTGAAGTCCACTATGGAGGTAGAGACTAGGGCTTTGGGCTGGGCTATACGATCTCTCTCCGACGATGACGAATTCCAGCCATTCGTGGAGGGGCTCACTCAAACGCTATGGGATTTCGAGAAAAACGAGCCTCGTGGCGCGTATCGGGCGCATTTCGAAAGGTTGCTGCGGGATCCGCAAGTCCGTCTCTGTCAGCGTCTTGGGGACTTGATGGTGGGCTCCAACAGCGATCTGCTCGAGCACACAGTCCGCCTCCGTCGACAGCTCTCCGTGCTCCGGGCCATCTGGGCTGTCTGCGCTTTCTCCATAGCCTTTGGGTCACCGCTGGAGTGTCCTATCGGAGAAACCGTCGTGAACAGCGCACTGCTCGGCTCGAAATTTCTCGGTTCTGCCGAGGTGCAGATGCTGGTCCCCGTCGTGTCAGCTCTAATTCGTCTCAATACCATCGAGTTCTGGGCCGCGCAACCCAACGGAGAAGCGAGGCAACAGGCCCTCACGCGCCTCGCCATCAAGACGATCCGCTCGGGGGACGGTCGAAGCGTCACAACCGCCCTGTTTTTGACAAGTGGCCGCAGCACATTTGAAGAGGAGAAGCGATGGGCGTATGCGCAGTATCTGGTCAATCTCTCCGAGAGTCCTGCCAGCTTCCAGCGGGAAGTGACCAATTCGCTCTTTCATCGATCACCAGTCCCCTTTCTGGCCGGAAACTACGACCCCGTCATGGTAGAGGCTCTCGAACTGATGATTGGATCAGAGTCGGGAGAGACGGCGGACAATCATGTCTTCGCTGCTCGTCAGGTGATCTGCGCGATCGCCCGGACATTGATAGATCCACCTCCAACGGCAGATGGGACCGTGCATATGCTGCCGTCCGGTCTTGCGCCGTTCCTCGTCCGACATCCTTCCCTCGCCATGTATACACCGGGCTCTGTCTGGGAGTCCGGTCTGGGGGAAAAGTACACTCGATACCTGTGCAACTGCATGCTTTTCAACTTGGCGCACCGACTCGATCTCAAGGCGTCTCTCGACTCCCTCCATCTGATTTATTATCATCTAGACGACATCACCGTTCGATCGAAATACTTGCAAGACCTCGATGCTCATTTGTTGACGATCCGCACCCTGCGGAGCTCCGGTGCTGAAGCAGCAGGCATCGACACGCATCATGTAGTTGCCCTGGTCCAGAGCATTGCAGTTCGCTGCGTCTCGTGGGATTCATCGGAATCGACCAGAGGGCTGAGTATCTTCGAAGACGAGGATTGGTTTCGCGCGGCGATCCGCATCGACGATGAGAAGTGGATTGAGCGGGGATCGACGCCAGGAGATGACGATGCGGTCCCTGTCTTCGTTCGCAGCTGTGCGCTTTTCGGTGTTGTGACGACCTTTCTAGAACAGTGTGCTCAGAATCGAGAACAGAGGGAGCTCGAGCTTGACTTCAAGACACTCACGTTGATCATAGAACGCGCCATGTTTTCAGGACTGGGGTGGAGTCTGGTACTCCCGAGCGAAATCCAACGTCGATTCGCCGCCGCTGTCTCTACATTCCTCCAAAAATATCCACAGGAGGGTCTCGCGGAGGGCAGGAAGCTCGGCTGGCTGCTGTACAGTGCCATCACGCCTCCATCTTTCCGGGATCATTGGGGCGTTGAGGTGCCGGGGTGGATCAACGATTTGGTTGCATTGCAGGTCCTGGACAGGGCTGTGTTTGACACGCAGAAGGACTACGAGCAGCAAACGCAGCGATACAATGCTCGAGAGATCCGGGAACGGATTCAGATGCGGCTCCATCTTCCCGAGAGCATTTTCGCCGGCTTTGTCTCGCTTGTCACTGACGGCGCTGAGGGACGGTGAGGTGACTATTATGGAGGGTGTTGTTTTCCATGTATTTGGCCAGAGGACATCCGTTTATCTTGTATGTGAAACTAACAATGTGAGCATGATACAGTTTAGTGGGATCTGAACCCAGCCGAGCAGTTTCCCTTTGCCGGGAGATCTTCGACCAGCTCCTCTTGGGCAGCGAGACATGTCTGGTCAACATTCTACCGCGTCCATGAACGTTTGTGATCGCAGAGATCTGATGGTTCTCAGTACTCACCCATAAGGCCCGTCGCGGAAGTTGCCCGGGAAGCTTAGACACGCGAGGTTTGTCATGTCTGGACTCCGTTTATGGGAAACTGGAAGTTGATGGGTGGGATCCGGCCGCCTTGAGTAGCGGGTGCCTGGCCGGTACATCTCCATGGAAGAAAGGTCGGCAATGGTGATGATGAGCAGTTGATTAGACAATGAGTTTCAGCCTTGTCCCCGACTGTCAACAACATGTCCATCACGGCCCCTTGCCCAGCCAGGCTAGGACTTTCTCTCTCCGCAAGGGGACCAGTAAAAATGTATCACACTTTATCCTCTCCGCGAAGCCTGTCTAGCTTGCATCATGTCCAGCATAATAGATCAACGATATGTCAAATTTCTCGCCGAGTTCAGCTCATTCTTGGTCTACCAAAAGCAACTTATGAGCTGCGGGGAACAGGAAAAACACACAAATGGGCTTTAGTCAAAGCTTCACTCTCGGCTTCTAGCAACGTATGTAGCCAGAGCATGCATCGATCGTAAAGTTTGGAGGCGAGAATTGAGCGGACCTGATGTTCTCACTGTCACTGCCTTGTCTGTTTTCTCAACGCCGGCTCGGTCCCGAGGGCTGTATTTACGCTACTCAGGCTTCTCGACCTCGTGCCTCATGTCGAAAGTGGGTAGCTGTCGCAGACAATACCGCGCAGTGGAGATACGACCAGTAGCGATCACCTATAAGACAGAGTCTCAGCAAGTGTAGAGACACAGGAGCTATATCATTAGCTGTACCTATAACACAGAGTCTATGGTACAAGTCATAAGTAAGGTCATTAGATCGTAAGGGAGAATGCATACCTCAGCGAGTGTAGAGACACAGGAGCTGAGGATATGGAGCGTATAGTACTAGGTTTATATACCAGTCTGGAGCAGATATCATGATGTCATAGTGGAGTAATGATATCATAGATGAGTAATGGATGACGCAATAATGAGGTCAGGTATGAGGTCATTGTGGAGCGAGCCAAAGTAATCTAAGAATACTACTTATGATGTCATGTCTACATACTGTGATAGTCGCTAATACAAACAAGCTTCAACAGTAGCTCGTCCAAAGCTACGGATTCTCGATTGACGCGAATGCCGCAATCGATGATCTCAGGCGCCATACATCATGTCCAGCTAGCCATCTGAGGTCGCCGCGCTTTTCCTTTGGGGAATGGGCGGCCGTATTAAAGCTTTGGATCGCAGAGTCTACGGCCGCCAGTCCACCCTCGACAATGCTCGTTTTCCAGAGTAAGTCCCAGGTCGATTCCACTCGATGCATACGGTTTCTGACTCCAACCCAGCTATTCTCTTCGCACTCACCACCTTGATCGGGGTCCAAGCTCTTGACCTCTCCGCCTCTCAGTGGATCTGGACGACCGATGTATCAGGTGGCCTGGCTCCCGTTGGCTCCCGCGCGTTCCGCAAAGACTTTGTCGCGCCAGCTGGCAAGACGCCGCTGGAGGCAGACATTATCATCACAGCCGACGCCTCCTTCAGCCTGTATGTGAACAATAACCTCGTCGGATCGGGGGGGAACTACCGCTATGCCACGCGGTTCTGCGTTCCCCTCAACGATTGCTTGAACGTGTTTGCCGTGAACGCTACGAACGGCGGGACCGCACCCAATCCGGCTGGGCTGATCGCCGCCATCCAGATCACCTACTCCGATGGAACGACTTCGCAGCTGGTGTCAGATGCGACCTGGCGCGGCGCTATCACATTCCCGAGCAACTACCAGTCCCTCTCGTTCGACGACAACTCGTGGCGCCCCGTGTTCGTCGAGGCTGACTTCGGCGCCTCGCCCTGGGGCACGATCCCGGTTCCTCCCGCGCCCCCCGTGCTCACGCTGGCCGCCGCGTCTTGGATCTGGACGACGGAGGTGTCGGGAGGGAATGCCCCAGCGGGGACCCGCGCGTTCCTCCGCACCTACACACCGCCACCCGGCCAGCGGGTCGCGTCTGCGACGGTGATCATCGCCGCGGACAACGAATACACGCTCTACGCGAACGGCTTCCAGATCGGCTCCGGGACGAGCTTCACTACGGCGCAGACCTGGAGCATCAACCTTGGTGCCGCATCGCAGGTCGTCTTCGCCGTGGTGGCGACGAACATCCTCACCGTCCCGAACCCCGCGGGCGTCATCTTCGTGGCGGAGATCGACCTCGTCCAGACGGCGTGCAACTGCACCGGCGGAGCCTACCTGATCAGCGATGGATCCTGGCTGTGGCCTGGGAACGCGTCGGTTCCGTCGGGCTTCCAGAGTCCCGGGTACGACAGCTCGTCCTGGACGGCTGTCACCACGGAAGGTACGAACGGCGTTGCTCCATGGGGCACAGTCGCTGTTTCTCCGTCGACGGGCACAATAAATGCTTTTTAGAGTCGCGATCCTTCAATAAATGTTGGTAAAAGTTTGTAAATGGGGCTGTCGTAGGATTTGTATAAAAACTTATAGCAATTTGCGAATATAATGGCTTTTCCGAAAAAGAAAAAACTTTGTGAGCACAAGTGCATGTAAGGTTAGGGCTTGTACACAGCCACTCCACACTTACGCTCTTGCCTCTCACAGGGCCGCGGACACTCCGTATCGGGTCGGTCCGCCAGCTTCAGGACTTTTACTCTAAAAAATTAGCGGTTTGGGGTCACTTTTACTCTATTTCCGGACCGGATAATCAAAAAATTTCTCCCACGCTATGAAAATTTCCAATATTTGATTTCTCATTACCCGATTTGTTGAGGCCATCAGTCCCGGTCGTGATCGAGCACCCATGACAGTCGCTGTGGCTCACGGGAGAGCTTACTGTGCTCCAAAATTGCGTGATTTGGCCATATTAGAGTCATATTTTTGCCAAAATCGTCGGGCTTCGCCCGACTTTTACTCTATGCCGGACCGCTTCCGCGCTCTGGAGCTCGATTTTACTCCATTTTCGGACCGGAAATCCAAAAATTTCCGGCCCACTTTTACTCTATTCCGGACAGACATAATACGGAGTGTCCGCGGGCCTCCTCTTACACAGCAACCGTTGCTCAACCCCTCCCTGACACGTCACGTGACATATCAAATTGACACAAGTTTGAATCCCAGTCATACTGTCAGCAAATGTTTTCTGCTCTCCCAATTTCAGCATTTACTGAGACATCTGAGTGAAGGTGAGAAAACTAAGTGTTTTCTCTATCTCACAAGGTAATTAGCTTCTGTGCTAGATCACAAGTTGAGGGCAGTCATGAGGTGGTAGGTTTGGAGGCAAAATGTGATTTTGGGTCCCAAAGCACTTGGCCCAGACCAGGGTCCAGACACAAGTAGACACAAGTCTAACTATGGAGGACAAGTATTTACAGAGTAGGTGAATATATTTAGAATGAAATGTGGTGTAACAGGGATGGTGGGCAGGAGAATCTGACAACAAATAGGGAACTGCAAGTACAAAATGAAACAACAACAAGGTGGCTCAGTGTTCTCACGAGTCACAGGCTGACATATATGAGACAGGACAATGTGACAATGAGATAACAAGGAGAAAGGGAATAAAGAGACAAAGGGTGCAACACAAGAACTTGTGTTGCAAGCACTGATCCATCAGGCTGGCTAACCCTGGATAATTCACTCCTCTCCTCAAATTCTCTATGTATGTGCTGTCAGTTCTGACTTTGTGTAAGAACAGGTAAAATCTTTCAGAAGAGGGTAGTCTTGGAATACATTTCGACCTGAACTCTTTCTAACAGTACTTATTGTAAAGAGTAATAAAAATGTGCAAGAGGTCGAACTGAAAACCTTCAGACATCAGCATGTGTGCATTACCAATCCACCATACAATCAATGTAACAGGTGGGTAAAGTAAAAACATGATCACCATGTATACACAAAAGTGCCCACATTGTCATAATTCGACCCTTTTTCATCTTATCATCAACGATCTTATCTTATCTTGGCACAGATTATCTTATCATGGATCACGGCACCTGACGGTCTGGGCTAGGGGTCTGAGGGGTCATCCTTATTGATTCAAGGCTGCGCGACATATGCTCCAGAAGGTTCTACTACAACCCATGACCAGTGCTCCATGCGGTACATAGCCTTATGACTCATTAGTTGTAGATATGACTCAGACTGGTCCATACCTCGCCCTCCCGCCGCCTGAAGACAAGATCCCTGACCTCGACAAACTGCCCTCCAAACAACCACCCTCACCCCCACCTACCACACCGGCTCCTACCATGTCAGGACATCACCGCATCACCCTCGCCGCCAACCCCCCTATTTCGATGGGGACAAGACAAAATATATGGGCTTCGTGGACTCGTGCACCACCTACATTGGTGCCTATTGGTCGGAATTCTCGCAGGATGAGACAAAAATCCTCGTCATCCTCTCATACCTCCGCAACAAGGCTGGCACAAGCTGCGCTGCCTCAAGATGGGCAATGAACTGGAAACAGCGCAACTTCGAAAGCCTTAATGGAATAAAGGCTGGGGTCACCTTGGCGACCTTCTTAGAGGAACTGCAGAGGGCCTTTGGGGACTCCAACATGGAGCAAGTCACCGCCGCTTGACTCATGGCTCTACGCCAGAATAGACAATCCTTTGCGGATTATATCTCCGACTTCAAGATGCTGGCTGCGGATGCGGGGTAAAACGGGGTCACCTCCACCGACAGCAAGGGCGAGTACAAGAAGGGGGATCAGGACAACATCCTCATCGAATTCCTCGAGCGTGGACTGAGCAGCAAGATCGCAAGTTGCCTCTACAACACGGGTGTCCCCTTGCCCAAGGCGTATGGCGCCTTCAAGGACTGGTGTGTCAACATCGAGGCAAACGCTCTGCGCGATCAGCTGCGCAAAGCATCATATGGGCACCCCACGCCACGACCACCTCCCCAGTTCCGTCCCCAGGCGGCACCAGTGGCGCCCACACCCGCTCCGACCCGGCCGGTTGCCAATGAACCGGTTCCAATGGAAATCGATCGCACCCATGCCTGCAGCTGCAATATCATCTGCTACAACTGTCAGCAGCCGGGGCACATTGCGCGGAACTGCCCGGAACCAAGGAAGAAGCACACATTCTTCAATCGGGCCACGATGCTGGAAGAGATCAAGAACGGGGACAAGGACAACAAGTTCCTCAAGGAGATTGCCGAGAAGCTGCGCGAGGAGGGTTTTTGAAGCGCTCCATGCCTCTAGCCAAGGAGGTGGAGCGTCTGGACTATGGACAATTTTCCGTACTTGTTTCAATTAAAGATATGAACAATATTCTGCACCATACATACACGCTCTCCGACTCACTACGTACAAATATTCACAATTTTCTTGTTGCCAAGATGGAAAAAGAACGTAAAGAAAAAATAGCTTTAAATAGAAAATATTTACAAGATAAAAAGGATCAGAAGATAGCGGCTGCAGATAAATTATTTTTGGACTCCTACGTATTTATGGCTCGTGGAGAAGAAACCACGTCAACAAAGACCGAAAAGGGGAGCATCGCTCCGGAGGCTCGATCCTTGGAAAAGGAGGAAGCACCTAAGGAATCTGCCAAAATCAAGGTTCCAGAAACACCCAAACGCACCAGGGTGCCAGATGCTGTCCAGAGAAAATTGGCGGCCGAGAAACAGAAGGGCCCCCAGCCCAGCAGACTGGCGCAGGAATTGCACAACTACCAGGCTGAAAGGAAGAGGCATTCAATGGACGTATATGTCCAGATCATGGGCCTGGACTCAGGGAAAACGCACAGAGTCAAAGCGCTGCTGGATAGTGGCTGCAGTACCTGCTGCATCGATACTGACTAGGCACGGGCAGAAAAACTGGATATTCAAGAACTTCCCCAACCCATAGTGGCTTGTAAC